CGTTAATATAAACATTGAAAATGCATAAAGAGAAAAACAGTTTGAAACAGATGAATATTCTATTCGCGCATCTAACTCTTACATTAAATTAAATAATGTAAATTTATGTAGTATGAAATAAACTAAGCAAAAAATTTCGTAATCGCTGTCATACCAGTTTTAGAAATACCTGTCAAATGACCGAATTGGTGGCGAGACCTAAATTAACAAAATTATATACCTAATATATAGTAGTTACAGGACACGGAGTAGGTATTTTAGCTTTATTATGCTTTTATACGATTTTTGAACACTAAAACTTTAGTATGTATACATGCAAAACATTTCTTAAGTATTCCTATTTACTAATTGACACCTAAATAAATTTGTGTTTATGTTTTATGAAATGATGATAAGTAATTCTTTTTCATTAGTTTGCGTAAAAGGGTAAGCGTATTTCATTTTAACTTTAATATATTGCTTATTGATGGCATCGTTTCTTAAAATAACACAATCTGCCTGTTGTTAAGCTGCTGTCATTGAGTTAAGAAGCTGTGTGTCATGCTGTTGGTCCATTGAGAGGTCCAAGCTGCGAGTGTGCTAAAACAGCTGCCTAACAATTCGACTTACGTTACATAGTGAGGAAATATTTAATAGCTCCACTGACTTATAACTACCTAATATATCAAATGCATTGTCATAATTTATGATGCACTATTGCACAATGTAAAAACAATTCATTAGTTATATTATTCATATGCCTCTATTAAAATCCAATTAAGTATTGAGGTACCTGATGAACTCTCGTTTTGCATAAATTATGATAAATTCACGTATTCAATTAAAGAATAAGAGGTAGTACATAATATGACTCCTATCCTTAAACCTCCCAACCATTGTCTACAATATATTAGAAATAAACAAGATATTTCCAAAGCCTATATTGCTTTAAAGGCTGTGTTAAGTGACTTTGTAAAATATAGTTCCAATATTAGTAAATACATGTACCTAAGTATGTAAATAGGTAGTTAATACAGATTAAAAAATTACTAGGATATACGAAGGACATCCATATTAGAATGATGAATAAGATAACAAACATTTGCTACATATCGATTTGTCTCAGCAAACCTGAGTTCGTGAATGGCAGCTACGTAACGTCTTTATTTATTTATTATTAAAGAGTTCAACTCCGCCTAATATAGACAACAAAACTGGTACGAGAAAAAATATATATTCTGTCTGCTTGGCCTACGATAAAAAAATCTGATGACTCAATATTATAAAACATACGTATTGTAATGTTTATTATGTAAATGAAAAAAAATGAATTTTCATTGAAAAAACTATTTTTATAGTCACAAATCGTCTAGGTAAGAGTAACCTCTTTGTATTGTTTTATTCAGCCATCAAAAATTTATTTAAATATCGCGTAGAATACTAAATACATATGAGTCTCGTGAACTGTACTGGACGATCGACTTGTATATTAGAATGTCTTTTAGGCGGAATCATATACAAGACACAGCGCGACTTAAACATTTATAAAAATACTTATTTTCCGACTCACGATTCTGATTATGAAAATAAATCTATTTAAAGTTTTTAAGGTAAATATTGATAAATAAAAGGTTTGAAGACCTCAGGGAATGCAACATATTCAAAATCGTGAGTTGTAAGTTTTCTAAAGTTTTCGTGACATACTGTGCTCATTATCGTGAGGTTTTTCGAGCATAGGCGGCTTTTGACGGTATCTTAGACTAAAATCTAACAACACTATTTTATAATGCATTGGACACAGATAAAATAAATAATCTTTTATTTGCATCCATTCATAAATTGCAAGTGAAAATGTTATGCTCGCGACGTATTTAATCGAAATTCAAAAAAGAAGAAACAACTCAAAACGAGAAGTGTAGACTTCAAATTCAATTTCAATCAAGTTTAACAGATGAATGTTTTGGTTTCCGAAAATACAACCAGCGCTCAAGCAGCGGAGCTAAAACTCTTGAAACAGAAATGAAATAGCATCTGAAGTCCCAATGTATGATAATATAAGTGATTCCTTAAATGTAATTATATTACAATGATTTCGGCTAATGTACAATATGTAAAATATATTTAATTGGAGACAATCTAGAACAGTAATATTACTATAATTAAGTCGAGAGACGGTTTTGCTTATGTAAACGTATGTCGGTTACAGTTCGTCAAATATTAACAAACACCAAAACTAAACCTAACTTTCTTTATCCATCTCACTACAGGGATAAAAACTTCTTAAGTGGGCTTTCAGTGCGGTTTCTATATTCTTTGTTTCTACGCAAAAGAAACTTCTTTAACAGCAGTATAAACAAAAAAGTAAAATTAATCTATAACGTCACTAAATAGATTAGTTGACTGTTCGAAAGGGAAGCTTGTTCTTATCTAAAATCAAATACAAAAGGGATGATGACTAACTTCTTTCTCTTTCACTTAATTACTGTGCTCGCACGTATTTTGTTGTAATATTCATAAATAAACCTACATTATTATTCAAAACCTTAAAGAGACAATTTGATTTGAAATGTAGCATGACGTCACTTCATAGTACGATTTCTACTTAGGGGGCGTTCAAGTATTACGTAACGCAATTTGGGGGGGGGGGGGGGGACTGTCTTGTAAAACGTTACAATGTTTTTTTTTTATTTAAATAAAAAAAATACTATTTATAACGTTAATGAAACTTTTTGTTATTCAAAATGCAGTTCAGAGGGGCTTTTCTGTAAAATTTTCACGCGCGGATTCGAATCGAGATTCTATATGGGAAAGGGGGCATTCAAGTATTACGTAACGCAATTTGGTGGGGAATTGGGGTGGGGTCTTTTAAAACGTTATGGCGTTTATATTTTTTTTGTTGATTGACAAAAGAAAAATACTTAAACATTATTTTTTGATAATTTAACTGGCGGACTAAACGGAATTTCGTTTACTTCACCCCATCATCACCTCTATTTAAATTTCTTTTGTTCTCACTCCGTATCGTAGCACACAATAAAACATGTCACTACAACCAGGGAATAAATAATGATACCTTACATCTTTCAAAAAGTCTACTGGGCTATCAGGTGGAATAGTAAGAACATTTTCTATCTTATGACTTCATTCCACTTGAATATCTTTATTAGTCATTGTAAAAAAAACTGCAGTAAGCAATCCTAAGCCGGATCTTCTGCTATACCATAGAACTGAATTGAAATTCAAAAGGAATCATGTGGAACAGTGTCGTATATTAGATATAAACTTTAGATTTAGATAGAATTCTCATTAGAGTGTATCTTAACATTTACTCGCAAAATTTTACTTTATCGCAATTTAGCTGTTTGTCATCACAAATAAATATAGAAACCGGGCACATCTACTAGAACTGCGGCTACTACTAATGTGTTGACATCGAGCACCCAGTTCTCTTATTTAAATCATCTCATCAGTTGCACTTAAATACTTGGATAAGGTATTTAAAACACGCCACGCGAAACAATCGATACACACCGATCTTCAAGACAGGGAATATCATTACATATCGAAAGTGGGGATTACGAAGACGTCGGTCTTCGAAAGAGAGAGAAAGAGATCATAAAATACTTCGGTGCGTGCAAAATCACGACGTGCGTACTCGTTGATTATGTAGGCACGAATCCTTGATTGGGTGTGAGCTGGAGCGATGCGAGAGAGAGAAAGGAGATCGAAAAATATATAGAGGTCTTTAGACGGTGTAAATTGCTTGACAAGCACGAAAAATTCACATATTTGTCAAGCAATTTTAAGCCTCAGATCGAAGCTTGATTTACTCGACAAGAATAGCGAGTGCGTTTATAAAGCTTGATGAAAATTTATACATGTTAGTAAGGACTGGTTCACTGTGTTGCAAACTGCGACTAACATGAAAAGAGAGTGCACTTGCCATGATATTGCATCAAGTGTCTTCAAGTATGCTTGTCACGCTATTTCGACCGTCTAGGAACTCCATAAAAGCGCGAAGCACATGGTTTGTATAAAATAGGTGCAACGGAGTTGATCTTTATGTTTAAAGGGTTGTTAGCAAGCATCATTTTAAGCTGCCGCCATATTCTAAAGACACTTGCGATACTAAAGTATTACTCGTGCGTCACCCACCCTGAATGCATTTCCTATTCTATGGAGTTATGGATCTTTGATGTTACGCGGAGAACGTTCAGTCACGGCAGAATCCGCGCATTTAGTGACCGTTCCACCGTGTTTTTTTAACGTACACTAAAACTAAGAACTCACGGAGCGATTTTCACCCGCGCCCGCCGCAGCAGCAGTCGCGACCGGAACTTGCGTAGAATGTGAAGTTGTACTTAAAACGCGATTTCAAATTTTACGGCGCGATTTACGCTAGCCGAGTGTACGCGGTTGTTTGCCTCACCTGCGGCAGGCTTCGTAGGATCTTCTTATGTTTATTTTACGAGTGTTTTCTGCGATTTCATGAGTTTTGAAATATAACAGCTCTTCAGCCACCCGCGGCGGTTGCGGGAAAAAACCGCTGCGTGTTCTTCGCCCAACTGAGCTTGGCGAGGGGAGGCGATACCATAGAGTTATAAGAATAGAGTGGGGGAGGCGGCTCTAAAAGTGTCCGTCTAGTAGAAAGAGAAAGAAGATGAGAGACCGCTAGCTATCTCTCTCTCTTGTAAAGCATGGCATCCAATGGCATCCAATGGCATCCAATGGCATCACATCGAAATAGTAATAAATTACGGTTGCCAATGCGCATGCGCGATTAGAGAGAGAAAGCTAGCGGTCTCTCAACTTCTTTCTCTTTCTATTACACTTCCACTTGTAGTAGAGTTTATATCTCCCCTACTCTATTCTAATACCTCTATGGGCGGTACTCAGTAAAGGCTTAGAAACGTCCGAACCGAAGTGGTTGTCGTCCCACAGCACGTGGTAGTGAGACGGACGTGATGTGCACTGGTACTGTGTAGGTACCTGATGTTGACAGCGAGCTGAAGGGTGTGGTATTACGCGAAGTACATAACTTTCTTGGTGACTGCGTGGACCGTGATGGCGCGAGCCATAGCGCCGGGAGTGCGATCTTCGCTGCAAGCTGATTGGTGACTTCCCTCGCCGGAATCATGCTCCTTCTCCACTAGATGGTATCTCGCACGGAAGGCTACCAAATGGGCGTAGTACGCCGGCGCGGGAATGGACACGGAACGAGTGCAGCGCACGTAGGTGTGGCACAGTTGGTAAGTGAGACACTGCAGCTCGTCCGAACCGAAGTGGTTGTCGTCCCACAGCACGTGGTAGTGGGATGGACGTGATGTGCCCTGGTACCAACAAACAATGCTTGTGTTATAAGAGTCACTCACAAACTTGAAAAATGGACTGAGCAATACCTACATTGTAACGTACCTCAGAGGCAATCCTTCCTTTTGGCAATCATAGATTCCATTTCAAACATTTCGTCACCCACCTTCATATTTATCAATCACTAGCGGCCCGCCCTCGCTTCGCTTCGGTGTAGACCTGAAGCGTAGACTACAGTTTTTGTTCTCAGGCTTGTTTTATACACAATGACATTCATCTATGATTATTCTTATACCTGCATGCAAAGTCTCAGCCCGTTCGGTTTTAAAATTGACAAAGTTTCATACAAACTTTCATTCCCTATTTTATCCCCTTCGGGCTAGAATTGATCAAAATCCTTTCTTAGCGGATGCCTACGTCATAACATCTAAATGCATGCCAAATTTCAGCCCGATCCGTCCAGTGGTTTGGGCTGGGCGTTGATAGATTACTACGTCAGTCAGTCACCTTTGAGTTTTATATATATCTTTATATATATAATTCTTCTGTGAGTGTGTAGGTCACTGAACTTCTCTTAAACGACTGGACCGATTTTGATGAAAATTTTTGTGTGTGTTCAAGGGGATCTGAGAATGGTTTAGATTCACAATTTTGTCCGCTGGACAACCCCTATTTTTTTAGGGCGGTACGAAGTTCGCTGGGTCAGCTAGTAGATTATAAAAAAACTGAAGATGGTATATTTATCTTTTCCAAACTTCTATTGACATCACGTCGCTCAACTGTTTTGCCTTCCCAGAATCTCTCCACTAACATTTGAAATTTATGGTATGGTATTAAAGTTCAAATTGACTTTTAAGTATTATTACGAATCGTTTGTATGGGAGTAAAGAAAAGTTTTATTTTTGACATTTTCAGGCATTTTTTTAAAATTTTCTCTTCGTAAGAACCATCCTCGTACTTCAAGGAATATTCTAAAAAAAAAATCAGCCAAATCGGTCAAGCCGTTTTCATGTTATGTCGTGACAACGGAAAACGGGTTTCATTTTTATATATATAGATATGCATAATTTCTTGAAATGCGTAATTTCAAAAATAGATGTGTAAAATGGAATCTATGATTGCCAAAAGGAAGGATTGCCTCTGAGGTACGTTACAACATCACAGAACAAGAACTAAAGCATAGAAGTAATGCAATGACGTCTGAGCTTATACTTCTTAATAAATAAATAAATAAATAAATATTTCCAACACTCACACCAATTGGTGCTAGGCTAATTAGCCTAGCCCCAAACTAAGCACTATAAGGCTTGTGTTATGGAATACTAGGGTAACGGATAGAATACATATACTGTACATATATAAGTATATTTATATAGAAATACTTGTAAACATCCATGACTGGAGTACAAATGTTCGTATTCATCACACAAACATCTGCCCCCACCGGGATTCGAACCCGGGACCTCTCGAGTCGGCGACACCATGAAACCCGGCGTTCAAACCACTCGGCCACGGAGGTCGTCAATGATGATGATGAACGTGTACCTGGATGCCATTTTTTGTGATGCAGCAAAACCTCTATTTACAGAAAACGGCACCTTTAAGAGGCACACCGCCGAACGGACCTCACACCTGGGGGTGTCTACTCTCTTTCTTCGAAACGAACTTTCGAAAACGAAGTTCAAACGAAATATAATTTCGTCAATTTAAGGTTATACTTAATTTGAACGATAAACTATCAAATTGAAGAATTGAAGAAAAAGAAAAGAATTCTTTGAGTAGGCTTAGAAAATCTACACCTCAATCTATATTCCGACGACGAATATTATTATAGTTAAAAGCGAACCAGAAACATAGTAAGAAGTTTCGATCGAAATTTCGTTTTTCGTTGAATTAGAGTAGGCCTCCTGACTCCCGCAAGCCTTACGAGCCCTCGCAGTAGCTGCCCACTGAGGACCCCGTAACTCTTACGGGCGCTTTACGGCATAATATCCGCTAAAAAACCCTGCGAATACCCTCTAAGCTGCTTATTGCGAAACCGCGGGATCCCCGTTTAGTGATTTTTCCGTGTCGTACCTGGATACCCTGGTGGCTGCACAGATAGAAGTCGAACTCAGTGGGGTGAGTGATGCCGAGGTCGACGGTGGTGCCGGCGGGGATGTTGCCCGACTTGCCAGACTGCTCCTTCTTGTCCGCGCAGAACAAGCGAGTATGGTGACGCTTCTGCACCACTATGAAAGTGATGCCAGGCTTGTATTCTGCCTCCAACTGTTTTACAGAAATAAAACACAATCACATTATGGGTTACCTACAATGTGAAGAGATGGCGCTGCATTGCAGCCTAAGGCTAGAGAAAATTCGACACGGCCGTCAGGGCCGCGGTAGCATAATGGTCAGTGCATTCGCCCGGATAGCGAAAGGTGCAGGTTTGTGTCCCGTCTGCTGCCTGGTCCACGTGGAATTTTTTCTAGTAAAATTTTCTTTAGATTTAATCATCTAGCAGTTAAATGCTTAAAATCCAAAGAAAAGTAAAATAACAAACAATTAAAAACATGTAACTCAACTCTTACTCATAAACATGTATTTTCTTACATGTTTATGAGCAAGAGTTTATAAACTATTAACTGTCGCGCGGAAGGCGAAGATATAGTTTTCACGATTGAGGAATTACAATACAAGGATGAATGACATTGAAATCATATAAACTCGCTCTTGTCACATTTTTGCCGATCTACCCTCAAATTCACCAAATATCTCAACAAAAAAAACGTGTCTTTTTATATACGAAAATTGCCTAGAAGCTGTAGGGCCGTATACTGAAAGAAAGCTGGAAGCCGACCAGCGCTTATCAGCACTGGTCCTTACTAGTAACAGTTACATAAAGAAAGATTGAAGCGTAGTTGTTCATTAATTTCAAAGGGTGGTGCCAGCGCTGACCAGCGAGTGTCGAAGATTGTCGGCGATGTTCGGCACTTATCGGCGCTGGTCCATAGAAATGCCTGCTTCAGTTACCTGCACGAACCGGTTCCTATAAGCGCTGGTAGGCTAACAGCTTTCTTTCCGTATACAGCCTACCACTTATATTCCATCAAGTGTCAGTCACCTTGATACAAGCCTCTCTGACGGCGGTGAGTTCGTGCTGCAAAACGTGAATGAACTGCCCCTCGGAGATTCCGTCGCGGTACATGATGATGCGGTGCGGCTTGAACCCGTTAGTGCTCTTGTAGAACATAAGGAGGAGCTCTTGCACCATACTGCTCATTTCATGCACGATCTCCTGCCTGTTGCGAACAATAAACGAGACTTTTAGTCACAGGTTATAATTATATACAAGCAGTTCTCGACTTACGTCGTTTCAAGTTACGTCGAACAATGTTTTGACACTATTCCTCAAGCATACGTCAATTGTTTCGATTTCCGGCATAGGAGAATTCACTTGTAGCAAGGTCAAGGTCCATGGGGCCGGCATTAGTGGGGATGTCTCGACTTACGTCGTTTTGATTTACATCGCGTATTTCGAGAACCTAACATGCCGTAAGTATGAGGACTGCCTGTACATTAAACAATACATTTACAAAGTTGGTATCCAATTTTGACAATGATATTTCGCACTCGCAAACTATTCGAATTCGATAATGGTTCAGGCTTAGGGTAAAGATGGTCGTCTGACTAGACGCAAAACCGCTGTACCAGCTTCAGCGGTTTTGCTGGTATTACAACTCAAGAGACTAAAATACACTATTATGTATTTGTAAATGTGCATTAATTCTGAGTTTATAATCATGGTAAACTATCACATTAAGGGTATTTCATGTAAATTCATAGAGCAGTGCTAAGTTAGGCGGGTCTCCCGTCGCAGCGCACGCTTAACGCAGCGCAAGCCCTCAAGGATATGAATCATCCTAAATTGCGGCACAACAAAGGTGCGATAACCTTACATTCATTCTTCGTAATGGACATTTAATTTGGCCAAACCTTACTAATGAGAGAACACATTGTTGCGTCATAACAATCAAGGTGTTAATTGTGAGACAGGAGTTTGATCTTGTCTAATTAAAGGTAGTTGCCCATATCCATGGAGTCCCATCAAGGGCGTCGCCAGCTTATGACTAAGGGGGGGCAATGGGGCAATATAATAGGTAAGGAAGTCAATTGGTCGCACTTTGGTCGCTTTGCGGCTAGCTACATTAGGTATATTTGATGGACATACAGAAACATAGTTATGTCTTTCGGTTGAAAAGATTGAGCAGTCTACAAGGAGATGGAAAGGATCCTGTGGTGATTGCGAGGCTGGCGGCAGTTATTGACTAGTCGACGACCTCCGTGGTCGAGTGGTTTGTACGCCGGGTTTCATGATGTCGCCGACTCAAGAGGTCCCGGGTTCGAATCACAGTGGGGGCAGATGTTTGTGTGATGAATACGAGCATTTATACTCCAGTCATGGATGTTTAATATGTATTTTATATAAAAATATACTTATATATGTACAGTATATGTAATCTATCCGTTACCCTAGTATTCCATAACACAAGCCTCACAATGCTTACATTGGGGCTAGGCTAATAGGCTAGTTGACTCATGTCGAATTGTATTAAATAAATGTTTATTTCTTAAAGTATTTGGTCTAAGGAACCTAAATATATCGATTTCACTTCATAAAAGCAGAAGAAGATTGCTGTAGAAATTTAATTTAAAAAAAACATTTTTTAGTCTATATTTCTTAAACACTAAAAACGCTATTCGCCACATCCGCCATGATCGTGACGTCTCTTTTAGTAAAAAACTAAGAAATGTCATTCGCGTGTTACTGTGGGTGGATTCTTTCGTCTGACTAAATTTATCTTAAATTACTTTTAACTTTAGAAAAGTTTCCGTTTACTGTTTTTTTTTTTGACAAAGCTAATTATGGATGCCGGCTTTGTGAAAGCAGAAAGCACAAATCTGCCAAGAATTGACGCATTGATGGTTGGTGAATTTTTTGCACTTAGCCCCGCTTTCTACTCTGCGGAGCAGAGAAACGACAAGGCATCTATGTAAGTACAGTGCATTTAGTATAACAATGTAGTAATAAACATAAAACTGATACAACATATTCATTCGTTGTGTAATTTCTTTCGGCACTTTAATCCACAACTTTCCTGGAAACTTTAAGGATGTGTTTTTATATTCTCGTACAATACAATAATGATAATTACTTTATTTTTCGTGGTATTTATTAGAAATCATGTTTTTTTTTATTATAAACTCAGATAAGTTATTTTCTACGTGCTTACGAGTTTTTGTTTACTACAGTTGACGTCATAGCATAGATAATCTATAGACTAAAATGGCCGACAGCGTTTTTGTATGTCCATGAAAAGTCTATTTTAAAATTAAAGATTTGTAATTTTCTAGGTCTCAAAAAAATACAATACATTTTTTTTCGGTCTAATAGAACATTTATTAACCAAATAAAACCTTCCAAAAAGGGTCAACTAGCCTATTGGTGTGAGTGTTGGAAATATTTATTTATATTTATATTTTTACTAGCTGTCCCAGCAAACTTTATACCGCCATGAAAAAATAAGGGTTGGTGGTGGAAGGGTGAAAATTTAGGGTTGTAAAAAATAAAAAAATAAAAACAAAAAAAAATGTAAAAAAAAATTAAGGGTGGACCAGCCTTAACATTTAGGGGGATAAAAATTGATGTTGTCCGACTCTCTGACCTACTAAATATGCATATAAAATTTCACGAAAATCGGTCGAGCCGTTTCGGAGTAATTCAATTACGCACACCGTGACTCGAGAATTTTATATATTAGATTTACCTATGCTGCTGCACGCGCACTGTTGCCGCGTATCGCGAGGGATGCGCGTCCATGGAGCCCACCACGGCCGCGATGGACGGCTTCTTGTTGTCGCCGGCCGGAGGATGTGTCACGTCGACACCCAAAAAGATCACGGGCTCGTTGAACACCTTAACAAAACACTCATCATCATCAGCCTATTTATGTCCACAGTGCTGGGCCGGATGTTCATGCGTTGGCTTCTCTTGATCCTGGCTTATACCGAGGTTTACTCCTACTGAAGGCTCATTTACGGAATGATGTACTAGACTTGGGACTTGACTTCACTATTGTTAGCAATGAACTTGGCGACATCATCAGCCTATTAATGTTCCCAGTGCTGGGGTACAGGCCTTCCCTATGGATGGAATAGGGAGATTGGGCCATGACCCACGCGGGCCCGGTGAGGATTGGTGGGTGCTAACGACTGCAGATGCAGCCGGGACCAACGGCTTAACGTGCCTTCCGAAGCACGGAGGAGCTCGAGATAGTAAATTTTTGGTCACCAATCTAATGACCGACCACTGCGAAAGTTGCTTAACTTCAACAATCGCAGCCGAACGCGCTAATCACTTGCGCTATCGAGCTCTTCAGAAGAAGACAGAAGAATACTCATTCTTAAAGGAAATTCAATGGAACCGTGTTTTTGAAAAACATTTCTAGATTACTAATAGGCAGTTTGTACGGTTGATATTAATGCTGAATAATCCCACAAGTCGTAATTTTCATTTAATCCAGTTTTGTTTAATCATAATATTGTTTACTTGCTACTATTATTCTGCTTTGCATCACGGCTTTAAATTCTGCCTTAATAAAATCCGAATGCAATTTCTTAATATTTATTTTTGTAAGATACGCTATACGCCTTTTTACCCGGCTGCGCAATGCAAGAGCGCGAAGCGCGACGCGCAGACAGGGTTATGTGTTTAACAGTCTATATATGTATGTTTGTTCCTTTGTGGCACACTAGAGACCAAACGCCTGGACCGATTTTGATGATTCATACATCAATCGATTCGTCTCAATCATGGGAGTGCTACTAAAGATATGATAGCAATCAAAATTCAATATGGGCAAAATTAGGCGCCATATTGTGACGAAGTAAAAAAAAAAGTTGACAAAATATGTCGAGTGGGGTATCACTGTCTAGATAATCAAAAATCATATTTAGGTTCCTAACACCATTTTTCATTTTATATGATTGTTTAGGATCTACAACGCTTTAAAGTTGTATATTAACCACTTACGCTTTTAATTTCAATCTTACGTTTGTATGGATCTTTGTTACTCTTTCGCCTAAAAAATACTGAATGGATTTTAATGAAACTTAACAGTAATATAGCTCATATATGATAATTACATATATATAATAATTTATGTAGTTGTTGAGTGAATTGGTCAATATATAGCAATAAGTGTCACATAAGACGGAAAAAAATGTCCCATCTGCGAGCCATTTCGGCCTGCACTGCAAAAACAATAAAAGTTACATGAATGTAATGTAGAGTGAAAATGTATCTCTTAAATAATTCTAAAAAAAAGTCCGTGACACCATATATCTATTTTTAATGTGTAAGTCATTACCGCTAAAATAGTGAATCAAAACTAAAATATTATTTGATATCTATTTCCAAAATGCACATTTTGTATTAACAAATCATTTTTTATTAAAACAAATACTTTAATCGCTTTTGATATTTAAAGACGATAAACTTTGCTTTTTACAATATGTCATTTCGACAAATATTTAAAAAGTTACAACGATGACAAAGTGATAGCGCGGTGTACTATGTAAAAGAAAAAAAAATGGGGTATTCGCAGTATCTGATTCTATACGAAATACTAACATTAAAACTGTGATACAGTTCCTTCTTATTAAATGATGAAAAATATATTATCATAATAGGTATTTATGATTATTGAATTTTAATGAAAAACTCAGAATTTTACTGTTTTTCTTTTTTTTTAACGATATTACTTAAGGTTACAAAAAAGGTTTACTTAATATAATGACAAATAACCCATTTTTCGCTAGTAAGTACATACTTATTGGAATCCCTGTATTTATTAATCAGCTCGCGATAATATTGGTTTTGTAATAATTCTGCAAAATTCAAAGTAAATAATGTAGATTTTTATAGGTAAATCACCCCTTTCATCACCCTACGCCTATAAGTATTGCGATGTTGTAGCTAAGAACCAAGTTCCCATCTACTTCTATATGGGAATTCATTATATTCGATTTAGCTATTAGGGCACGGAAGCGCAACAAACAAACTCACTTTCGCATCTATAATATTATATTATACTTACTAGTGATCCACCCGGGTATTGTACGGGCGAAATTTATTTATCGGGATAAAATATAGCCTATGTCACTCGGACAAAATGTGTTTAAATAAAGAAAAATGTTATAATAAATAATGTAGCTACCTTATGATGAATTAATATTTGAAACCGGTTCAGTAGTTTGACAGATTATTTGTTACAAACATACAAATCTTGCCTCTTTATAATATTACTATAGATAGTTAGGATAAGATAAGTATTTAATTGATGAAAAAGATTTAAAAATAAAGTAAGTAATAGGTTTATTTGATTATATTTGTAAAAGTTACTTAGCATTTGTGCTTAACAGTGATACGTTATTCGGTATTTTTTTAAACAAAAAAAAATTTGGAAAATAATTGCCATGATTGCACTACTCTTCATTCGAGCTTTACACTACCAATAAAAAAGGGTCGAACACAAAGTCTTTGACCTGTTCAATTTGAACGCTTTAAAAGAAAACTACAAAGAGAACTATAAATTGATAATAAATGAGATTGCTATGGTGCTCTACCTAACGTTATGAAAATTTTATTATGCGCCTTTAGTTTAATCAAATATTATAAACTTTGCTTTGGTGATTGCATAATTATTTAATTTAGTGATCTAAGGCAGTTGCCACCATTGTCCAAAACAACAGGCGGGAATTACTGCTTTCTTCAACCTGCGACATAAACGTCATTGATTGGTGTTGTATATAGGGTGATTAAAAACATTTGAAGTTAACTTCTGGCATCTACATATTAGGTTTCTGTGAATTATGTAGGTATATCAAATTATGAGACTAGGGACTGACACTGAATTTGTGTATATCACAATCTTAGACGTCCGGCATTGACATGACAATGCAGCCACTGCCAATTTTAAATAGTCGACGAATAAAAGTAAATGAATTTTATATTTACTGCTAAACTATTAAAAAAAACATAAACAAAAGATGACTTTTTGAGTAAGTGCTAGTTTACTATAAAATTTACATACATTAGAGATATTTATGTAACAACTTGATTTAACTTCACACATTTTTGCGAAAATTGAGGCCCATCTGTAGCCTTGACCCCGCTGGTAAAGTCTTTATATGTCTTAATAAATCAATCTTTTAGACCGACGCAAGGTACTTAATAATTCCCGCGATATTAATTCCCTTACTGAAGTAACAAGACTACGGTATATACCGTCTTAAAATACTAACTAAAAAGTGTGAAATAAAAAAGGTAAATTAAAAAAATCAAAAAACCCGACTGCTTAATTATACTTCAAATAAAAACCGAAAAGAAAAAAACAAGTCCAGTAGTCTATAATTCTGTTAATACGGAACAAAGCTACTTTAACAGTCGGGACCCACTGTTGAAAAATATTATGTATTCTTGAATATCTAATGGGTCCCGACTGTTAAAGTAGGTTTGTTCCTTATTAACAGAATTATAGACTTGTGAACTTGTTTTTTTCTTTTCAGTTTTTATTTGAAGTATAATTAAGCAGTCGGGTTTTTTGATTTTTTAAATTTACCTTTTTTATTTCACACTTTTTAGTTAGTATTTTATTTGCTAGTTATATTGCTGTTCTACAATAAACCAATTGCTTGCGATGGAATGCTTAACCAATTACCTGTGATACCCCACTGCTTTTACACTCTAGTAATTCTGTGCTTTTTCTATCATATATATTACTAGCTGACCCAGCGAACTTCGTACCGCCATAAAAATAGGGGCAGGTGTTAGAAGAGAAAATTTAGGGTTGTATGTATTTTTTAATAACACATTATAAAAAAATTAATACTGTCCACAAAAAATGTTAGGGGTGTGTAACGTAGTGTTCTATTAATTTCCTGGGATAACATTCCTCCTAAACTATATGAGAACACTACGTTACAATACCCAATAGTTTGAATTTTGGCGCGAAGGCGCAGTGTAGGTTTCAGAACACTACGTTTCAGGTGGACAACCATTATCACTTAAGGATATGAAAAACAGATAGTAGCCGATTCTCAGACCCACGGAATATGCATATAAAATTTCATAAAAATCGGTCAGGCCGTTTCGGAGGAGTATGGTAACTAATACTGTGACATGGCCGAAAACTGTATATTGAGGAAGACAGGAGACCGGCTTCCTTCTCACAGTAATGGCCGTTGTTGGCGGGAGATCACAACACGTGTTTATTTATATGAGATCACTTAATTAACTAACATTTAAAACTGTCTTTATCAGTTATTAATAAAATGTGAAAAAATAATTATTGCACTGGAAATTAATAATAAATTACGATGAGAGTAAAATTAACGTAATAGATGCACAGAAAAATTAAAATAATAAAGTCACTGCTACGATATCGATCGATATACACAAATGAAATGAAAAAAAAATGCCGAAAAATGTATATTGAGGAAGACAGGAGACCGGCTTCCTTCTCATCCCTACTCCGTGATGTTTGCTGGATGAGAGGTGACCCAGGTAGACATCTAGCGGGAATAACTGATCGATTGATCGTTGATCGGTTATCGACCGGTGAAGGCGGAAGATCAAATTGAATTGAGAAAAGGAAAAGAAATTATTTAAAATAAAAATCGCGATGGTAAAATAGGGGTTGATTGTAAAGGGTTGAAAATTCAGGATTACATGTATTTACTAATGCTGTATCATAAAAAACTAAAAAAATATATCTAAAATTGAAAAAAAAAATATAGGGGTGGATTACCCTTAACATTAAGGGGGATGAAAAATAGATTACATCCGATTCTCAAACCTACTGAATATGCATATAAAATATCACGAAAATCGGTCGAGCAGTTTCGGAGGAGTTTAACCACAAACACCGCGACACGAGAATTTTATATATTAGATTTATATTGCTATACTGTAACATTGTGTGTAATATTATTTTGCTTGTAATAGTAAGTAATTGTACGATTTTTGTAATTTTAATTTTGCTTTGCTATTGTTGTAATGAGATGATGATTTTTATACACTTTTTTCTTGAACTATTTAGCAATGAGTTGCTTTTATTACTTTTAATATTGCTATTTTGAATTTTGTAACAATACTATGAGTGTAAATCAAATTGTGCTTGTTATGTTTGTAGATGATAGTAGTAATGATATCATTTGTAAATTGATTTACTGTTATAGATTTCTTTGGAGGCATCATAATATTTTGATGATTATAAGGTTGTTGTATATAAGTCTATTTTATTCTAAGATTTTTATGGTTACGTGTGCCGCAGCGATACAACGTAAACGTATATATGCATATAAATATGCTTTTAACTTTGTTTTATTATGCGTTGTAAATATCACTGATTTTATTTTGATGATTCTGGAACGGGCATTTTACTTAATAGTTAGTTTGTGCATATTTATTTTATACAATTTTACATTAGTTTAGTATACCATTTTTAATACACGTGTTGTAAATGTCATTGGTTTTACTGTTATGATACTGGAATGGACATGTTACTTAATCAATTATAATTTATGCATATTCACTTTATACAATTTTAAATTAATTCATTTTACCAATTTTATTCTTATTTTATTAATTATTTATTTAATTAATAATTCAATAACTGTTATTTATCTAAGCGAAAATGACTTCCATAACTAAATTTCTTAAGTTAGCTCTGTATAATGCAGGATCGTTATGCACGGGACATGATGATTTTCTTATTGCAATGAGCCGCTTTGAGGCTGACATCGTAGCAATAAATGAAACATAGTTATCCGCCGGTCAGGAGGCTCGAGCACCTATAGTGCCTGGCTATCGACTACTTATACTCCGCGCCCACGTGATATGCGTGGTGGTAGGGGAGGCGGTGTGGCATTTTACGTCAAGCGGAATTTGCGTGTAAGATATTTAAGGCAACCCAATAGTCAGATTGAGCAGATGTGGCTGTCGACTCAATTAAATGGTTGTCGAGTTCTTTTTGGTACAGCTTACAGGCCACAATGGCTTAGTGTAGATTTGTTTTTTGACGTATTGACCGAGTCCATTACAAGCTTTTCCGATTTCGATTATGTCATCGTTATGGGGGATTTTAATGTCAATATGCTTAATACGGCCAGTAAGTATGTCTCAAGGGTTAATGAGTTTTTACACACTTTGGTCCTTAAGCAGTTTGTAAAAGAGCCTACACATTCATCCGTTGATACTAACACGTTAATTGATCTTGTCTGCACTAACTGTGGTGCTCGTAATCTAACGGTCACAAATATTACCGGAAACTTAGGTCATTCAATGATAAATTTCAGTATCCCGTGAAGAAAAGTAAAGTTCCGCCTCGTGTTATCACCTCTAGACCACTTAATAAGATCAATATTAAATTTGTCAAATTTAGTGAGGATCTTTATGCTATGGACTGGGATTCTGTTTCTGCTTTGTCTAGAGTGGAGCGTATGGTTGAACGTTTTAACCTGCTTCTTTTGTCACTTTTTAACAAACACGCCTCGCTGAAAACAGCTAAGCTTAAAACTAACCAATCCCTACTTTACCCACTTTTTGAAACGCCTGGGTCAGACAAAATTGATACTTCGCTGCTCTCTTATTTTCAAAGACGCAGATTTGATACTACAAAATCTCCTTTTAAGCTACATACTGTCACTGAAACCGACGTTTCCAATTACTTTTTATCTATAAAATCTAATGCCGTTGGCAGTGATGGTATAAGCAGGGACATGATTTTGCTCACCCTTCCAAGGACACTATCAGTTATTACGGATATAGTAAACAAATCTTTAATCACAGGTGTGGTACCTCATCAGTGGAAGTCAGCACTAATAACGCCAATTCCTAAAATTGAACCTCCGGCTGAGCTTAAAGACCTAAGACCTATTAGTATTTTACCTTTTTTATCAAAGAAAGAAAAGGCTGTATATAGTCAATTAATTAAATACTTTGAAGATAATAAAATTTTACCAATTTTTCAATCGGGGTTTCGTAAGGGTCGTGGTACCGTTACATCTTTACTCAATGTTAAAGATAATATATTAGCTGAACAGGACGCAGGAAGAAGTACTATGCTGGCTCTGTTGGATTTTTCTCGTGCATTTGATTGCTTAAGCGTTCCTATACTACTTGCAAAATTTACTTTTTACGGTTTTGAACCTCACTCAGTTAAATGGTTCAGTAGCTACTTTAGTGACCGGAACCAAACGGTACGGCTTCGTAGGGAGAATGGATCTTTCCTTACTTCTGAACCAAAACCGATGTTACGTGGTGTCCCTCAGGGTTCAATACTTGGACTGCTTCTTTTCATTATATACAGTGCGGATCTGTCAAAAGTAATCAAAAACTGTAAATTATACTTCTATGCAGATGATGTTCAGCTATATATCTCCGGAAAACCTGCTAAAATATCTCAGGCGGTCAGCAAATTAAACGAAGATTTGAATTCTATAGCTTCCTGGTCTAAAGACAATGCTCTCGTACTGAATCCGTCCAAATCGAAGTGTATGCTAATAGGTACTAAAAAGCAAACCGAAAACATTTTACGTGATCCACCCGTTGTTCAAGTTCTGGGCACAAATGTTGAACGTGTTCAAGAGACAAAGAACCTGGGAATAACATTTGACAGTCGATTGCGTTTTGAAAGTCATGTGCTTAATCTAGTAAAAAACTGCTTTTATCGTTTAAAAGTTTTGTATAAAGTTCGTAGTTTTTTATCTGAAAAGTCCCGAATTGCGCTCTGTGAATCGCTGATCCTATCAAGGCTCAACTATGGTAACTTGGTCTATGGTCCGCGCTTGTTGTACAGAACAAAGAAAATCATACAGCGTGTGCAAAATGCTTGTGCCCGCTTTTGCTTCCATATTCCTCCACGTACGCATGTATCACCATACCGAAATAATGCTTCTATGCTAAACATGGAGTCGCGTAGGCATTTGCATCTTGCCATGCTCATGTTCAATGTAGTGAAATATAAGAATCCTGAATATTTATATAATAAACTAAGGTATTCTACTTTTCCCCACCACTACGGTTCTGGTGTCCCCAGGCACGTAAGGGCTCCCTTGAGCACCCACCAGCACAGAACTGTTGGCTTCACTGGCAGTTTCCGCTACCAAGCGACTAAATGCTGGAATAACATAGCTCCACCCTTAAGACTAATTCCGTGCAGACAGACTTTTAAAACACATCTGAAATCATTTTTATTAGAACAACAGAAAATTGGAATATCCAGAAATTAGTTGCTTGGGTGCGGAGTTGTCGGCGTTGTTGTTGTGTGCTTTAATTTTAATTTTATTTTCACTGTAACTATTTTCTTGAGATTTAAACATCAAGCAGTTACATGTTAAAAAAATAAAAATTATGAATATTATCTCACTGATCAATTTATCAATTTTGTTTTCTTTGTTTTTATGTTTGTTTTTTGTAAAAGTACCATGACAATTATATGTCCAATGAATGTTTAATTATTTTTTTGTATTCAATTTAATTTTAATTCCGTTTATTGTATTGTGAATTTTAATCTGACATTTAATTGTGTGACCTCATCTATATGGGTCAGAACTGATAATCAGCGATTTACTCTCGGAGTAAATGTTACGCTGAGTTCTCGCCCATTCGCATCGCTGCCGCACACGAAAATATCAGTATAGTTGTATAAATATAATTTGTTGTATGTTTTAAAGGATTTAAGTATATAATTGTAAAATTTGTCTTCAATTTTGTATGTGTGCATGTTGGTGTGAATAAAGTTTATCTATCTATCTAATATTCGACGACCTCCGTGGTCGACTGGTATAGACGCCGGGTTTCACGGTGTCGCCTACTCGAAAGGTCCCGGGATCGAATTCCGGTGGGGGCAGATGTTTGTGTGATGAATACGATCATATATACTCCAGTCATGGATGTTTAATATGTATTTCTATATAAATATACTCATATATGTATAACACAACCCATAACACAAGCCTACAGTGCTTACTTTGGAGCTAGGCTAGTAGGTGCGCGTTCAAAATATTAAAAAGTATATACTTTTCGCCAAACCAAGATCTTTTGGCACTTAGATGATTTTGACAGGAGAGCGCTGCTAGTGAATAAATAGTGAAATAAGGATAACAGTCGGATCACGATAACTTTGCAGAGTCAATAATCTGGTCACACCGGAAAAACTTGATCTGGTAGCCCTTTTAAGAAGTCATTAAAAATGTGATAAATGTCATATCATGCAGGAACATTTCGTTTGAAGGACATTTTTTGATGTTTTTTATTTGTGGAGTGAATAGAAAAGAGAAAATTTAAGTCGAAGAAGTTATTTACAAAATATTAAGTCATAATAAATGTTCGGCCACGCTCCACTAGTTCTTGTTCACACTGTAACCTAATCGAAAATAACAAAGCAAGATATTCTGTCGCTCTCGCACACTATCAGGATGGGCGGAATGTATTACTTCGCACTTTTCGTTTCGGTTTTATATTACACGCGAATAACTTTTTTGTTGTAAGAAAGTACAATTAGTTACTTTCATAGTGTTTGTAATGGCCAACTTATTGTTGATTATTAATCTTTTCTCTTATTTAATTAACTTCTGGTTCTTTTCAATTTCAAATAAAGTTATTATTAACTTAATTTAGTATAACAAAACCTTAAATAAGTACTTGGTCTATCTGAATTATAAAGAAAACTGAACTAATATCTTACCTTGGGACGAAGCGATGGGACTAAAATAGAGTTGATGCCTCCCAGTTTGACGTTGATCTTGAGACAGAGATTGCTGAGCGTCTGAGGCGAGGTTTTGTTCACGTTCTTCGCTTGCACGCATTGCGTCGCCATACCGAGTACAGTGTCGCCAACGCGTTTTACCTCCGCTATAGACAATATAATAAATATGATATTATTATTACTCATCTTGTTGAATTTACACACAATAAAAGGTGTTTTAATTAAGTTTTTTGTAGTGAAACTTTTTTAGGCATGCTTGACTTGGGGGGGGGGGGGGGGGTAAACTGGCGAATGTGTTACGATTTTTGCATTACGATTAGTGTCATCGGTGACTCATCGGTAAACAATGAACAATACCCGTCACAATATACATAGATCTAGTGCTTGGTGGGTGATAACGGACCCAGCGCGGATTGGTGGGTGATAAAGGACCCAGTGCGGATTGGTGGGTGATAACGGACCCAGTGCGGATTGGTGGATGATAACGGACCCAGCGCGGATCGGTGGGTGATAACGGACCCAGTGGGGATTTGAGGGTGATAATGGACTAGCGCGGATTGGAGGGTGATAACGGACCCAGCGCGGATCGGTGGTTTTTTTCTATCAACAAATCTTCCGGTTAAGTTTATGATTTTCAGATCATTGGAGCTAAAGAAGTTTTACTTCAGTCGTGTGGTCATAAGCACACTCGCTTTTATTTCGTCGTCCATAGACACCTGCAACACCAGAATTAGTAAATATTTGATAATGCAAGCAAGGTTCAGCTCAGCCTTAGCCTATTAATGTCCTGCTGGGTCACAGTGGATGGAATAGGGAGATTGGGTCACTTCACAAAAAACTTAAGTTTGTTAACTTACTATGCTAGAATATATAAATAAAATAAAATAAGCCTTTATTAAGACTAACTTATAATATAAATAACATTATTAATCCAAATGCCCATTGGCAAAGGCTTCCCCCAGACTCTGAGGATGCTAGAATATATAGATTGAAAAGACATACCATAAACCGGAGTTTTCCCCGGCAATACGACGACCACGAGCTGCAATTGCACGAAGGTTGACTTGAGGTATTTGAACATGGGCTCCACCTGGTCGGGGCCCGTGGCGTACTTGCAGAAGCACGGCTGGCCGATGATCGGCATGCCGGCGTCGTTCGATATCTTCTGCAGTTGTTGCGTGAAGTTCCTGTACGTTATTGTCGTGTATTAGACTAATCTATTCTAATACTAATTGACCCGGCGAACTTCGTACCGCTTACAATAATTTGGAGAAAATTAAAGCTATTTAAATAGGCGATAATCCGAATAATGTGGATATATATGTTGTCGATTCAAAACCCTTAATTTAATACGTGCTTCAATTCCGATCCGAGTCTACCGTACTGAAGGGACGAACGTCAAATTTTTGACAATAAAGTAGGTAAAACAGTTTATATGGCAAATTAAAATTGTTATTTTGACTATCTTCCTGGCATTTTTTCCATATTTTCTCAGTTCCCTTCATGTACTACGACAAACATTTCAAAACTAAAATCAACTAAATTGGCCCAACTGTTCTCGAGTTTTAGCCAGACAAACGAACAGCAATTGATGTTTGGTTGAACGCACTAAACCCCAGGAACTTCTGGTCTGATTTGAAAAAATATTTTTGTGTCACATATTACATGTATCGAGGAAGGCTATAGGTATAATATAACGCTAACGGTATAATATAACGCGGAGCATCAATGAAAAATGTTGCAAAATAGGGAAAAACATATTCCATTTATGAGCTTCACATATGTCTATCTTTTAAGGGTACTATAAACTGTATCCTTAAATTAATGCGGGTGAAACCGCAGGGCACCTCTATAGTTTACAACCTGGATTGAGACATAGGATACTTTTTATCCTGGAAAATGTCAAGTTCTTGTGGACTAAAGTTAACGTAGACGAAGTCGCGGGCGGCTGCTAGTGAATAACATAAAATATTCTTTCCCGTTTTTCGTGTCGTCGAGTCCTGTACTGATTGACTGACTTTAGATTAAAACAATCATTTCGAGCGTTGTTCCTGAAAATCCCTCACGTCGTCAAGTTCACGACGTGTGACGTCATCAAGTTTTTTGTATCTGTTTTTTTTCTTAACCTATATTGTATGGTGTCTAATAAAAGGGCTTAATAAGTCGGTTCTATGAAAAATTACACAGAATCTACACTTCGGAATCTATGAATCGGAATTTATGAATTACAAATCTTTAAATGAAGAAAAAATAATAGCAATATAGGTAAATATCAATATTTATAAAGGTGTGAAGAGTATATTAAGAGACATTTGACGTGTGTTTTACAAAACTTGGCATAAAGTCCAAATTTGTCATGTTTAAAAATATTTCTTGGATTTTCAGAAATCAGATGAACAAAAAGAATTTATATACTATATTTTTTGAACCAGCTTATGAAGCTCTTTCATTTGATACCACACACTATAGGTTTCCAGAAAAAAATCTAATCCGATACAAAAAAATATATGACGACATTATCTTTAATATCGACATAACGGGGATTTTTAAGAACTACCGCTCAAAAATACTTTTATAGCCCAAAGAACCTGTGTACCCAACGGCAGTACATTAGTTCCGGTTTTTCAATCGAATTGGAATTGTATTGTGTAATAAACTCAATACACATACAAAATAACTGAATAACCATGTGATGTAACACCATTAAAATGATGTAAACAAACATATTATTAGTAAACTATAAAGGATAAAATTTGATGGAAATGAGACAAAACATACTTGAGTGCATCTTCTCTGACGGTCCTTTGAGGTGCGAAGCAGGCGATGGCCCACACTCTGATTTCAACTCCCATGAAAAACTGCTTTCCCCGCATATCCCATACTCCTTGATTTGGCAACGCTTGCTGTGGAGAAATGTCAACCAAATAACAAACTCGTTAATATCCAAAAATATATAGATAACAAACACACGCACAGAAAATAGAGATAATTTATAGCCATAACTACATATTTACGCGAGATATTTTCCTTCTAATGGTCAACCTAAACATTATTTCCTATTCAAAACATTTTATATATCCCATAATAGGCACAAACTACTATCGATTCCTAGCCAATTAATTTTAAAAGAATGACTTATAATTAATCAATAAATATTAAACTGACATGAACTTTAGTGATAACAGTTGGACTCTGTATAAAAGCAAATGTGTGGGTACTTTAAAATATTTATTTGTAATCATCAAGGCTTCCATGGTCTTCATTAATAAGGTGATAATCGCTTCAAGAAAACCAGTCAAAAACTCGATAAATCAATGTCATAAGCAGAAGATCTCAAAGTTCCTCAACCATACCCAATTAGATGACCTAGTACATAGATATGCAACTTAATAATTTATCTTTATGCAAACTTTAAAAAAAGATAAACCACAGGAAATATCTTCTTACTAGTCCGCTGAGCGATGACACGCGACCACAATTAACATTATACTTAAGATCTAGTAGTAGTAAGTTTCATGACACAGTACAAATATATGAAACTTAAAACTCTATCCACCTTATTACAAAACGTAAACTGAAGTTAAACCTGGACTAAAATTGATGCTGTCACTTTTGTGTGCTAAAATGAAGACAGAGACAACATTATTAGGTTTAACTGTGTAGATCCTGACCGCTTCGGCCGTATTGCTCTTTGGTGTAAATGGAGGATTTCTGCTCACGTCAAAAACCCCCGTCTGTGGAAGTGGTGGATTTCTGCCTCGCATACACGGTTAAATATTTAGATAAAAAATAGATAACTAGAAATGGACGCATAAACCATTTAAGATTGATTTAAAGACATAAACGAAGACCATAGATTCAGTAGAACTGGAATTTTGTAAAATAAGTAATTACTCATTCTTGTGTTGCTTTATGGACATTTGCTTAAACATTTCCTTGCTGCTTAGTTCTTTTTTGTTATGAACTTTTGTTTTATTATGCGTGTGATGCTTTGAGCTTAAATGAGTATTGCTGTTTATATTGCTAACCAATGCTACTGGATAAATTAATACTTGAATTAATTAAGGAAACTATAGGTCTTTTAACCAATGATATCTCTGTATCAATTATAAACATGTGTGTGTGATTTTCTTATAAAAAAAAAACAGTTTTTGTAAAATGCGGGAACCAAAAGAGTTTGACAGCCATTTTCTTTCCTGTGTAAGAAAATGGCTGTCAAACTCTTTTGGTTTAACCCCTCATCTGTATGAGGGGTTAAACCAAAACTAACTTTAGTCCACGTTTTGAAACAAGGCAGTATCTTTCTGCGAGTTTAATCAAAACTAAAATGAACAACAGTACTAAAGTTCTTACTTGTCCGCCTAGCGATGATACGCGCCCGCCGTACTGCAGTTTGGGTGGAGGCAGCACTCGACCTCGCACCTCCATCATGTTGTTCGATATTGTCAGACCGAACTCCTTCACGTACAGATCCGTGTTAAAGTTTGCACGACGCACCAGATTATTAATCTCACGTTCCCTGTACCATACAATTTATCTTTAATTTTTTTTTTGAGATTTAAGGCCCGTATCGAGTCTCGAGTACTATCTTGAGATGCTGTTTTTAAAAACAGTATCTCGGAACAGTAACTCTCAGGCGCTGTTTAATATAAAAAAAGTATCTCGGGATTAAAGTCTCGGAATTGAGAGCAATCTATTAATACGGCAATTTTCACCAACAGTTTAAGTTAAATTGTTACTAACACAATATGGACTCAATTTCGGGTCCGAAATTAATTATTATTACCTATTAAATGACACCCATGCTCCAATCTTAACAAATATTAGAAATGTGAACTAGAGTTTGTTTGTTACGCTTTTACACCTAAGCCGTGGAGTCGATTATAATGAATTTTCGACATAGCCGCGATGCTGGATATAATTCAAAGAGAGAATTAACAGATGTTTTCAATTTCTCCATGCAGACGAAGTCGCGGGCACCCGCTCGTCTTTCATAATAACAACAGTTGCAAAATTGCTGATTGCATTTTCACACTTAAACCTTTCATTTTTAAGTTTATCTAGTAAGTTTATTGTGTGGCCCAGCCATTCATTAGACTAAAACCCCTTCCACACGACACAATTTGATTGCCAATCTGATTGCCGATTAAATTGGGTACAATCTGGTCGTCCGTCTACACATACACAACAAGATCGCCAATTTCAGTTTTATTTGTTGCCTCTGCTGAACGGACTTGTTTGTATTACGATGCCTCTTACCAAGAAGCAAAAAATTGGATTAATCTTGGCTCTAACTACAAATGTAGATGAGAAAAAAAGAAAAAGAAGACTGTGGACAAAACAATGGTTATTAAAAAGAAAGCAATTGAGGCACTTTAATGTAGTTATATTATATTTAAGTGACTCAATTAATAAACTTAAATATAGTTATACTTAAAGAGTATATTTTAAAGGGTTTTCGAAGGGTGCGGGTTCGAGTCCCGTCTGCTGCCTGGTCCGCGTGGATTTTTTTCTAGTTATATTTTCATTAGATTTAAACATCAAGCAATTACATGCTTAAAAAATAAAAATTATAAAAAAATATATATAATATTATTTCTTTTTTACCCCAGCATGCGCGCATATCATTGAGTAGAATATAAATTTAATTAAATGATTTTATTATTTTCAATAACAAATAACTGCCTGGTCCGCGTGGATTTTTTTCTAGTTATATTCTTTAGATTTAAACATCAAGCAGTTACATGCTTTAAAAATTATAACAGTAATATTTTTATCAATATTTTTCCACTTATTCCGCAAAATCTCTAAGGAATTATGCCTTGCTTGTTTATTTTTATATAATGGGTTAGACACATCCCAAAGGCATGGCAAGTCTTTACATATATCTAAAATCTCCTCCATTACTTCCCGTTCAGATCAAATAGACATAATATTGTCGTCATGTTGCTCCATCTTCTTCTCAAAAGACAAGTCAACGCACACACCCGCTCTGAACGCCGCTTGCACAGTGACTATGTTAAAAAATTGGCCATAACACCATCCAATTTGATTGGGCAATCCCGAATCGGGCGATACCGACCATCCAATGACCTTCAATTTCATATTTCCATCCACACAACACAATTCGATTGTCAATCTAATCAAATTGGACATAAAATTGTATCGTGTGGAAGCCGTATAAAATGTATCAAAACATAAGGAAAATTATTTCAGAACTCACTCAATTGTAAAGTCAGTAATTGATTGATAGATGTATTTAAAAAAACTATCTTTAACAAATTGATTGAAGAATCACCATTTCAAGTGCAATTTTATTGAAGTTCAACGACTATTTATATAATATAAATATAAACAAACTAAATAATAAAAAATGTGATTATTTTAATTTAATTAGTAATTCATTCGTAACTGGCAGAATATGCACAAACTAATAACCTATGTTTTAATCACTATATGAATTGTCAGAAATAAAGCAGCTTTTTCCTTAATTTATAAATACTTGCATTTTAATTACATATTAATGCCTTTATCCTAGACTATTAATAGGCATAATGCGTAAGAGCTTGTAGACCTTACCTATCAGGTGCAGACCGAGCAGTAGCTTTGATCATTGTTGAAGTTTGCATGTCTGTCAATTTTTTTATACACCTTTGGCCAGGCACTATATTACATACTTCTAAAGGTAGGTATGTATGTTTGTGCTCCTGCCCTACTTGAAGGCATGGTAAATGGGGATATCTAAGTTTCATTTTATATTTATCAAGGAAGTATTTGGCTACAGTACATTCTACAGTTTGTCCATTATCTAATTGTAAAGGAAACCTGTAAATAAAAAATATATACTTTAAGATTTAAGTTATTTTCTGGACAGTGAATTAAGATCTTGTAGGTACAAGAAATATTAATAAACATGCCGTAAACAAACAAAATAATAATAAACACTTACGATTGCATCTGTGCAGGCCTACGTGTGACATTACACACTCTGTATTTTCTTTTCATTGTACCACAGTGAGTAATCTCTATTTTAAGACCTTTAATTTCTTTAGTAAACTTGACTCTTTGGGAGTCTGTTAGAGGTTTTCTTTGATCATTAATATCCCGAATGTCGAGCACTTCACACATAAATTCAATGACTGGCTGAGCCTTATAAAAGGCAGTAGCAGAAACTGTAATAAACAATCATATGGTGAAACTAAAGACATAAAAGTAGCAAAATTTTATAAGAACCTAATAGGCATACCATCAATGTTCAACATCATTTTCCATTGGCTAGGTCTCACTGACTGATGAAAACCAAACCAAACCTCACGGCCACCACCCAATGGATGGTAATACCCTTCTGGTGAGGAGAAGAAAGATCTTCCAACAGGAGTATACATCATTGAGGGCAAATGCCTCATAACCACATCAAGTGCTAATATAGCATCATAGGGTATCTGTCTTGTACGTCCTTCCAAAGCCTCCTCAAGAGCAAATAGTGACACCTGCAATAAATAAAATATATAAATAAATGGCCTTTTATTAAAACCAACAAGAATAATTTTGATAACATAAGTTAATTTTTAGAATATAGTTTTTTGGATTTTACCTGTGCAACCCATTTGATAGTAACACGGAAAACTCGATCTTTTCCCTCTCCTGGTAATATTACCTCCAGCTCCACTCTATCATTACCAATAGGTAAGGGATCCCTTGTATAAAGATTGTTTCGTCCATCAAACACTGGTTTTAATGCACCAAATATTTTGTTATAACAATGTACCATAGTTTCAACAATTTCTCTATTCACCTGTAACAGATATATTTTTATACTTTGGCATCAAATTTTGAATTGATTACTGATTTTTAATAAACATCAGTTTTTTATATACTTATGTGTAAAAATGTTGAAAATCTCACCTTTCTTGGACATTTGTCAGGTTGTATATTGACATCATAATGATGAACAAACCCTCTTGGCATAGATATTTGAAAGTGATTGGCACGAAGCATAATAGGACGTCCCTCATGACCCAGGTTTGGACGTCTGGGACATGTGAGTACAGGGAGGTCTGGTGGCGGGGCTGCTGCTGGCGATACCAAAGACATGGGTCCCGCAGCTGCAGCTGCCCCTGTAGCTGGGGCTCCAGTGGTAGGTGCAGTGCTTGGAGCGCCTGTTGCTGCACCTGTAGTGCCTGCAGCAGTGCTTACTGTTGCTGACACTCCCACAGCACCACCGCTTGTCTCCCCCGCTGGAGCTACCAAATCATTTAACACACTTAACAATATAATACAGATAAATTTAGCTTTTTCAAACAAGGAACAAATCGTAATTGTACTGATAAACTAGACATTATTTATGACTCATATTCAATCAAAATTGTTGAGAAGGCCAACTTCACATGGAATAAACTTTATTTTAAGCAAGCAAATATTATTCACTTAATAATTTCATAATGTCGTATTATTCAAAGAATTCTAACTTACATAATATAAGTATATTTTCCATTTTCTATTCAGCTTGAGTTTTAAAGCAAAATTAAAACCTCAAAGCGTGTTGGTGCTTCTGATGTCACAATCATGTAACTTTGGATTCATTACAGTTGGTCAAATTTCAACCTAACAATAATTAAGATTATAAATACTATACACTAATGTATTACACAAATGATTTATGATGGGATGTGTGTTTAGAGTCAAATCTTCTACTAAAGCTCTACCAACAAATGAACAAGGTTAGACCTACGAAATCATTAATGAATATAAACTGATTATTTTAGAGCTACTTCTTTTCTACATTTTAGGATTGATCTAAAGGGACTTAGAAATTGCCTTATTATATTTTGGTCCTAAGTATTTTCTATATTTTAATGGTAACAATTATATTAAACACTACAACAGTACATTAAATCACGTTATTTGATCAAATAAACACATGATTAAAGAATTCCTTAACAAACATATTAAATAGGGCACAAAGAAATGATGATGCTGGTGTGCATATATAACCACTGATGGTTATTAATAAAATTTTATACTTACGTTGACCAACGGGGTACATCTTTTCTGTTAAATGATTGATTCAATAAAAGACTTAAAAATAAGAAATCTAAACTCCTCGTGTTAAAATTGCTAAAATGTGAAATACATTAGTAAATTAGGTGGTTTTCATATTATGACATGTGAGTGATGTGCAAATGTAGATCGAAATTATTGGGTATTGTATTCAATTATAAACAATCGATTCTTAAACTACTTAGTGGAATTTAGCAATTGAATTACAGTAGAAATAATCTGTAGTTGATGTATAGACAATGTTATTTATATTTTTTATATATAAAAAGATGAAGTATACTAAATTCATTCAGCCATGTGTTAATTTTTTTGTTGAAGCGTATGTAGTAATGGTAGTAACGCAGTAGCTCTGGTGAGAGTAAAGCCTCCTCCCCATAGGCTCTTTGTTATCGCTCGATAATATTGGATGTGTTTTTGCGATATATATTTTTGTATGAGACATTATGTATGAGAATAGCTACGAATTTTCACACTGCTGCGATTATAATGACAAAATAGAAGTATGTATTACAATAAAGCATCCGATTAACTGCATGTTATCGACCGATAACGATCTATGGGGAGAGGCCTGAAAAGGTAAAAACGCTAGTCCCACGTGTGAACTTCATGTTAAATTTTACGTTAATAGATGCTAAGCGGCCAAACTACAAAGACTTTATATAATACCTAGACTGTGTACCATCGCGTTAAAAACGGTCCGGGCGAGAGGGCTTCCAATGGTAGTGTGTTCCTTTCTAATGAAGTGACCATATTCAAGCGTAACGCGGGACAAAATTTGTTATTAGTATTTGTTATTTAATATAGCTTGTAAAGAGGACTGTGTTTAGTATCTGCTACTGTCTAAACATGTAAGTAATTTGTGATTATGAGTTAAAATAAAAACTACATGGCGTATTTTTTAACTTGCTAAGTGCATCATAATAAGACTTAGTGTAATAAAAAATTACACTAAGTCTTTGTATGATGACAAATTCCGACGACGCAGCCTGTAAAGGCTGCGAAACGTCAATAAATAAATAAAGTTACGTGCATTAACCCGGGGAAAACTAGTTATATTTAATGTGTGATGTGCGTGAAAACCTAAGAAACAATAATGGTGTCGATTCTGGCATGATTCTCTAAACCTAAATTTGACAACAGTGTATCCTTGTCATTCTCTATACAGAATGAAAAGGAGAGACTGTTGTTAAATTTAGTTTTAAGTTTAGAGAATCACGCCAGAATCGATACCAATGTATCATCAGACTTACCATTATTTTAACATAAATGCCAATACCTGATTTTGGCACCTTTTTTTTTGCTGTTACATCGACATAGGTGTCGATTCTGGCATGATTCTCTAAACCTAAACTTAAATTTGACAGCAGTATATCCTTGTCATTCTCTATACAGAATGAAAAGGAGAGACTGATGTTAAATTTAGTTTTAAGTTTAGAGAATCATGCCAGAATTGGTACCATAAACTTATTATTTTACTTAATTTAGACTATGTAGTGTTAATGAATATTAAAAACCTCATGTATGCGTTTACCTCTAAACGCAGACCAAACGAAGTTATGTAGGTTTTAAATATAACAATACATAGGTACTATGAACTGTTTCATTCGCTATTTAAACTAGCACGCGTAGCTTGGCTTGGACTGAGATTAGATAAAGAGGGTGGAATTTTGTAATGCCAGCCACCTGAAGGGAAAGTACTCTTAAAAGTATGTTTATTCAGGTAAGGGGGACTCACATATTGAGGTAGATAAATCGGTCAATGCCAAATAATCAAATTCATCAAATTCTGAACGGAAAAAAGACAATCATTTGTTTACAATATTTTTATTAAAATTGGTTTTTATACATTGCTAAATAATAAAGTTTTGCGCAGTTTTTGTCGCAATGTAGCCTTATGTCCTACGTGTTCAAGGGTTAAGGACTTCCCGTAGCTTCTAAGTTTTATTTAAATGTCTTATTCATATTTAAAATGCGTACTGCAAACAACTGACGACTTAGAATTTTTTCCAGGCATTGCATTTTCCCACATCAATTTCTGCTTTTCGTTCTTCGGAAATCTACACAATACAAGAAAAAATAAATTATTTTATTTTACTATTTTTGTGAGGAGCTCGATGGCGCAGGTGGTTTGGCGCGTTCGGCTGCGATGGTTGAAGTTAAGCAACTTTCGCAGTGGTCGGTCATTGGATGGGTGACCAAAAACATCTATCTCGAGTTCCTCCGTGTTTCGGAAGGCACGTTAAGCCGTTGGTCCCGGCTGCATCTGCAGTCGTTAGCACCCGTCAATCCGCACTGGGCCCGCCTGGTCATGGTCCAATCTCCCTATTCCATCCATAGGGAAGGCCTGTGCCCCAGCAGTGGGGACATTAATAGACTGATGATGATGATACGAATCTAAAAACGCTCTAAAAAGTACCTACGAAACAAGGAAGTAACCGCGACCGCATTATTTAATAATTGATTCACTAAATTCACACAACTCATGTTAAAAAAAAAAATCTCATCTACCTCCAAAATTCATGGTTCACCTCATGAATATGATTGTAAGTTTTACTTACCCGTGAAAAGAAAAAGGGCTACCGGGATAAGATTCATTGTAGCACCCTGTTACACAACACGAGTTCACCATTTTAAAAAAATACACTTTATTTAGCAAATTTACAATATTTCAAATCAAATTGTCATCAAGTGTCATCATTGTCATTGTCATCAAGTGAACAAATCACCATCTTACATGCAGTATTACCAGGTTCAACTAATTAAATACTACTTTTACTCTGTATTTAGATTTATTTTAAAAATATCAATGATTATTTTATTATTTATAGGAACTGTAGAAATGTTTAAATACGTTTCATAGTTTACGAATCGTTCGTATGGGTAATTAATCAGTAAATCACAAATAGAAAAGGATGACATTTTCTACCATTTCTACCAAACCCAATGATAAATTGAGCTGGCAAGACGTTAGAAAGGGACACACTACCGTTGGGTGCTTTCTCACTCAGGACCGTTTTTACTAGCGACCGCTTATCAAGATAATGGTGTCAATTCTGGCAGGATTCTCTAATCTTAAAACAAAATTTGACATCAGTCTGTCCTTTTCATTTTGTATAGAGAATGACAAAGATACAATGGTGCCAATTCTGGCGTGATTCTCTAAACTTAAAACTAAATTTGACATTAGTCTCTCCTTTTCATTCTGTATAGAGAATGACAAGGATATACTGCTGTCAAATTTAAGTTTAGGTTTAGAGAATCATGCTAGAACCGACACCACTGTTGTCAAATTTAAGTTTAGCTTTAGAGAATCATACCAGAATCGACATCAATAGCTATCCTATTACTACAGATATAAATCTTACTTTAGATTAACTAATTTTTTTCGTGCACAGTCTAGGTATTATATAAAGTCTTTGCCAAACTATACTATAACTATAGTGAGATAGTCACAACAGAGACTCGTTTGTCTCATTCCTGCAACGCACCATGATGATACGATTACGGAGCTGTCAAAATTCTTGCTTATGACTCTGTAGGCCTATTTGCCAACTGCTTTTGACGGATGGGAGTGATAATCACAGATCTATTTAGTGATCCACTACTGCTTTATTATAACGCTACTAAGATATTTGTTTTGAAAACAACAATGGATATGCTATTTTCACTTTAGTTATACACTGTTTATGTTAAAAAAGTAAGCGAATAGGCCGGCAGAGCTTAAGTTTAGAACATAGCTTTGAAGTGACAGGTTGCTTGAAAAGTCCAAACATAGGACGAAGAATCTCTCTACGCTTAGGCCCAAACAGCCAAAGAGTCTTAAATGAGCTTTACGTTTTCTTCCCCATTCTGACAGTAGGGGTTGGCAACACTGTATGTCACAGTCACCTCCACAGTCACAGGGACGGACACACAACTTGTTCTCTTAGGCACTTTGCAGACGACGGGGCGGGGCGGGCCGATCAATTTTGCCGCGAATAATAGCACAAAGTGAATCCTATACTTCAAACGCACACAGAGGGCAAAAAGACCGCGCCTTGGGTGCCCGGCGGGCAGTGGCGGCGCGGCATGTCCGCGGCTGCCCGCCGTGGATCATACAAACCAGTTTATATGCAGTAACGCAGACGGCGGCGCGGGGCGGTCAGCTCAGTCCGCGCCACGCGCTTATTAGTGATGGACTATTCACTAGAACGAACGTCCTAAACTGACCGCCTCTGCCCGTCGTGTGCTTTGTGTACGCGAAGCGGGCAGCCGCAGAAATCGACGGGCAGACGCGGTCTTTATTGCTTCGCGGACAAAATGCCCGCCCCGCCCCGTCGTCTGCTCAACGCCTTATTGGTCTGTGGGATACACAATGAAGATTACGGTGAGTTATTGGCGGGATTTTATCAGGTGCGGTTGGCGTCTTATTTTAATTATTCTTAAATTCTTTCATAGTGGATATTGGGGAAGAAAATGGTGTAATTTTGTGTTCCAACCGTATGCGTAACCGAAGAATTAGTGGAATCATAAAAATATACGCTATTCCGGTCAAGTGGACGTGGGAACTTTATTGTAGTGTTGACTACCTCACTTATCGAAAAAGCCAACTCAATATATTTCGTGCCAAACACTCCAAGAAACATTAGAACGCGTCACACCAACATTTCTAATATAAAAAGAAGATTAATTTAACTAAAGACTAGGCTGTATGGGCATTTTCCCTTTGCCTTCCCTAAAACGGGAGAATCATAAACAAAAAAAATGAAGATTACGCGGCTAGGGCGAAAAGGAAATGTGTAACCTAAAAAACTGTAATGTAAAGTAGCATTTTCATGTGAGCGTATTATCCTCTGAGATCGATTTTCTGATCCTAAATTTTCCACAGGGAAAATATGTCTATTCCTTACAGTGGCACGGTTCAAAGATCACTTGGTGTAGTTTCAGCGATAGGAAAACAACTTAAAGCAGTAAATCTAAAACCAGCGCGACGAATAACTGTTAGATTTGATCCTTTCGGCGACAACGTTACCCATACAAGGTTTGCATGATGTTGATCTCATTATCAATTTATCACAATACATATCAGGTAGTTCAATGTATAATTTGTAAGCATAAATCTTTAAAGGCTTGCTAAACTAAGATTTTCTATTTCAGAAATTTCCTTCACTATATAAGTTCTCCAAAAATAAGTTTAACAAACCCAAACTGCACATTAAAAACCGAGGTGGTTTGTGATCGCAGTGAACCTGCTATAGAAATTAAATTACTTCCTGCAATAGCTGGTAAGATTCCATATCTACAAAAATCCTAAAATTTTCATGTGTTTCAACAACATTTATAGTAATTAACTGCTTGATTTTAATTAGATATGATGTTCTAAAACAAAATCTTTGTAATTTCAGAATCTACCAAAGTTAAAACTGTAGTATTAAGAAGTGGAAATCTCACATGTTTGGAAATTCTGCAGTTAATAAATAAACATGTATCATCATTAGCACCTGTTGATCAACCAGCCTCTACTGTTCAAACTAAATTAGAGAAAAAGAAGGGAAAAAAGAAATAAATTAATATAATGACAAAATCAAGCAAAGGCAACCTTCATGTTGTTGAAGAAATATATAATCAAATACCAGCATTCACAGATGTGTTTTCTGAAGACACATTTTATGTATTTGTAGTATTTTTCATCCTTTCAACAGTTATGGTTGCATTTCTTCTATCTAGATTTATTACCATTAAACCTGTAGAATAGATTTAATTTGATTATGAAAATATAAAATTTTGTAAAAATAATGATAGTGAGTTTTTATAAAACTAGGCAAATATATTTTGTTATTGTTGGTAAAAATAATTTCATATTCTTAAAAGTAATTCAGACAATGAGTTTTTTTACAGTATTACAATATATAGAAAATAAAATAACAACAACTTAAAAAAACCCCATGTATAAAATTTAAATACAAATTACCTTAACCTAATTCTTAATAATAACTAATTTACAAAATAAAAAATATTTCACCCCCAGCACGGCCATCAGGAATTGTGCCCAATAGGCTGGCAGCGTTGCCACGTTGACTGAGATAGCTGCCAGCCTTTTGGTCAACCAGTCACTTCGTTGCTTCTCTTTGATAATTCCTTAAATCAGGAACGAGCTCTTGGACCCCATGGACCCATATTCTCAACACCAAATGGCACAAATATATAGTTTTCATTGAGAGCTGAATATTTGCGTCACTTGGAGCACTCAGCAGTCTGTCGCCGCGCCCGCAGCAAGGGAGGTGCTCTCTATATGGTATGGAGCAAGCGTATCCTCGCAAATTGCGTCAAACACAAGAGCGCGACCCTGCCTTCAAGTAATGAGCGTCATCCCGTCAGGCCTCTTGCCATCGTCACGAAAGATGCCGCTAGGCTCACGGACCGCTGACACGTTGTCTGCGACAAAAGCTCTGCGGATGACGTCATTGGTGCAGGCGTGGCGGGAGACTCAGCCAGCGCTCATTAGGCATGAGAGACCATGATGACCCAACTCACCGACGCGACTTGAGTAACAACCATATACATGGAAGCCTACACAGTAGGTAGCAATTTACCATACAAAATTGTTTGCTGTGCAAGTTTATTTGTCTGTGGTTTGCTGATACATACCTATAAACAATGTTAAATGTTTAGTAGAATCAAGAAATATTAAAATTCTGATTCTAGGTCCAGACCAGACCACTGCAGGCTGGCTAATATTGGTTGCTAACTCCCAACAATATGTTAACTAACCCCTGTATGCCCAGCACATTGTCCCCAAAACATGTACAGCCTAAAGCATCTTCCCGTCTTAATTATGTGTATCTAGAGCCTCTTAATCATACTTAAACGAATTTGCATCAAATAAAAATGCATGTTAGTGATCAGACAGAAAATATATTTATTCATATAAAGTACAAATTGGGTCACAAGTGAACAAAAAATATTTAAACTTTACTTAACTCAGAATTCTTGTGCTCCCCAACGGATCTGAAACAAAGTTGTTATGTTATTGCCTTCTGCTCTGTATTATTGCACAAATCTGACTGAATCTGTATTCAGTTGTAAAATTCAACAACTAGCAAACATCCATTATTCTATCATCACCAGCCTATTATTGTCCCCACATGCCATGACCCACCACACGTGCCCAGTGCGGATTGGTAAATGCTAATTCATTATTATGCAACCGTGACTCAGAGCTCGAGATATAATAAGCTTTGGTCACCCATCAAATGACCAAACTTGCGAAAGTTGCTTAACTTCACAATCGCAGGCCAAACGCGCTTATTCTATGAGTGACCAAAAATTTGTATTTTACGCTCCACGATATTAAAAACCTTATCTAGATGTGTATCTAGATAAGGTCATCACGAACGCTCAAAATGTGTCCCAATCAAGAAGTGCTTAAACACCACTCAAGCACGTCTTGGTTCACATTTCCGTGCGGACCGTTGAAAATTCAACACGCCGCAGAGCTTCATGAAAAAAATGCGAAATAAATACTTATAGCACGTATTGTCGTTTTTTCGACGGGTACCTATTCCATGTTTGTCAATTTAAGCATTTGAAGAAAATTTTAATACTATCAACTGATTTAATAGAAAATATTTGCGACATACAAATGCATGGTCGGTTAAATACCCGTCTCTTATCCTCGCGCGCCGTACCCGTTGTATTACCAACAGCCCATTCAGAATTACGCGTTGAGTCAAAGAAATAAAATCTATGGATAAATTACAGCAAGAAGTCGTAAAATTTTACTAGCTTGCATTGCTTGCTATCGAAACTGCTTGGCGCATGCGTTTAAATTAAGACCTTATAAACTTTGAATTAAAGGTGACTTTGAATGTTTAGAGAATGCCTTATATCGTTTTTGACTACGCGTTCATCCCACGGAGCTCCGTCATTCGTCCAATGTACTTTTTTGACAGGTTTCGGCCACGTTTTTGTACGTCTTATTGTATCTAAGGTATTAAATTCTCCATACGTCACCACAGCACCTTAAATGTTATATGGATAGCAAATAAGCATAATTATGACACACGTCTGTAACCCATGCTATGCCCTAACCTATGTAGCTGTGGAAACCTTAAGCGCCGCCGGGCGGCATATGTTGAAATCAATCATGTCGGCGGCTTACGCACTCGCTTAATTGTCCGGCGACACCCAATAATACGGTAATACAAGAGAAAGAGAGCAAAAACACAGACAAATAAAACTTGCGCAGTAGACGTTTTTATATGTAAACTTGCTACTGCGCAAGCTTTCTAGTCTATGGTCGTTGCTCAAGAAGTTTGCCGGGGTGTATAGCTGAAGTTACTCAGCTCATTATACCGACATCTCACCTACAGTTTTATGAATGCACCGGCCGGCAAGAATTTCAAACATTAGCGACAGGACTAGACTTTTTTGGTGTATGAAAAGGTAGTATTGTTTCACTGCAGTCTTCTGTAGGATGCAGGTTAATACGCAAGACAAGTGCTCCGATTCGAGTTTTAAATCCGCAGCGCCCTATCTTTGTTCATTGACATATATAACAAGCGTTTTACTAGGTTTTGGACTTATACTATTATATTGTATTATATGGTTTTGGTAACTCACGCCTAGACGTAGTACCAGTGGCAGCGCTAGACCACATGTGGACGTCGGCGACATCAAGTTCGCGAGGCTTATTTTAATTCGCAGTAAAAAACCGTTAAATTAAGTGAGCCAAATTATAAAATAACGTATGAGTAAACGACTTTTATTGTTGACTAGTGGCCCGCCCTCGCTTCGCTTCGGTGTAGATCTGTAGTGTAGACTATAGTTTTTGTTCTCAGGTGTGTATTGTACACAATGAATTTATTTATTTAATTCTTTTTCTATGATTATTTTTTTTATGAATAGGTAATAATGTTAACTTTTTAAAATTAGGGATGAGTGAGAGTATTATAAACGTAAGAGTAAACAAATATAATCAGAATGCTCCGAACTGCTAAGCTATGAGGAGTTACACGTGTTATTGTGAGTCAACCATAAAAGATAGACATATGCTGTTGCGGGATATTTTTTAGACAATTTGATGTAAAATATTTCCGTCATACATGATTTCTATGTAACTTTAACCATTAAGGCTGCACACGCGACGGAAGCTTAAAAAATTAAGTAACTTCTCCCGTTTTCCCAACATTTCCCTTCACTACTCTGCTCCTATTGATTGTAGCGTGATGAAAAGTATACTATAACCTGCCCAGGAGTATGAAGAATAATTGTACCAAGTTTCGTTAAAATCCGTCGAGTAGTTTTTGTTTCTATAAGGAACATACACACAGACAGACAGACAAAAATTTTACTGATTGCATTTTTGGCATCAGTATCGATCACTAATCACCCCCTGAAACTTATTTTGAAAATATATTTCATGTACAGAATTGACCTCTCTACAGATTTATTATAAGTATAGATAATCAAATGATGACAAAAATAATTACAAACATAGAAATTTAATTACAAAAATAGTGTTACCAGACAGACGATTCTGAATACCCGTAAAGTACTAATCGCTTCCATCACGCACGTGTTCGAAAATAATAAAAGTCATTATTATCTGCTTAGCTTTTTCCCCGAATTGTTCGGGGTCGGCTACCTAAGCCAGACCAGGTGAAACGAAAATAAAAATCGGAAAGGTAAGCCCTATTTACAAGTCTGGCAGTAAATACGACCCAACAAACTATAGGCCAGTATCAGTTCTTCCTGTAATTTCTAAAATTTTTGAGAGAGTTTTATACGGTTGCTTAAATACATACATTACCGACAAAAAATAACTAATAGATCAACAATACGGCTTCCGCCCTAAGTCAGGAACTCTTAATGCTGTGGTTGACTTGATTACAAAAATTAAAACCAATATTGATCAGAAAAATTTAGTGTTAGGTATTTTCATAGACTTGAAAAAATGTTTCGACACAGTAAGCCACGAAAAGCTGCTCCAAAAATTAAAATTAAATAATATAGGTATTAGTGGCACAGCTCTAAATATGTTCTCATCATATCTAGAAAATAGACTTCAAATAGTAAAAATAGGTAATGACACTAGTTCCCAGTGTCACGTGACCTATGGAATTCCGCAGGGCTCCATAATCGGTCCATTACTATTTTTAATTTATACAAATAATATAAATAATATTGGACTTGGAAATATAACCTTATATGCAGACGATACAAGTCTTTTTTATTTCGGAAAATCAATACATGACAATAAATACTGCCCAAAAAGACATCGTTATACTTGAAGAATGGTTTAAATATAATTTATTAACAGTAAACACGTCTAAAACATCTTATATGGTTTTCCATTCCAAAAATAAAAAAAGTGCCTGAGATTATCCCCCTTACCATAAACAATGAATAAATTCAACGCTCAAGTTGCGAAAAGTACCTTGGGTTATGGATAGACGATCAATTGACATGGAAATGGCATATAAATAATATTTAAACTAACGTCTTTACTCGGAAAATTACGGAAAACATCAAATTGTTTTCCAAATAAAGTGCGTACCATCATATATAACTCCTTGGTAAAATCACATTTGGAATATTTAATTGTCATATGGGGATCAGCCGCAGTAACCCATTTAAGTCCGCTGCAAAGACTACAGAATAAAATGATTAAAGTTTTATTTCGCTATCACTACTTATCCCCCACTAAATTTATTTACGAAAAAACTAAACTATTTAATCTTAAACAACTATACATATATAACACCTGTATTTTAGTAAAAAATATTCATACTGGAACCATTCAGTCCAACATATTATTAAAAAAAAGAGAATTTAAGCATTCCTTAAGAAATACCAACAAATTGCAAGTTATTAATACACAGACTAGTTATGGGAGGAAAATAATATTATCCGAGGGAGTACAACTGTTTAACGAGCTACCAGATGAAATAAAAAATTAAAAGAGTATATCACACTTAACTTCAAAATTTTATAAGAAGGAAATTCTAAGAATGATGTTATCACAAAGCTGTACAATAAGTCACAATAATGTAATTGTTTGTATACTGAACCGATACTGCAGAAGCGGTCACACAGTAATATCAGAATGAAAAATTGTAAATCTCATTATAAGTAAACTGTATGTTTTTATGAGAAATAAACTCTTTGCACACAAGGTCCCTTACGGTTGCTTGTACTTTAATACATATTTGTTGAACGACAAAGCCAACACGAAGCAATTACTAGACATCTTGGACTTCTTTATCAGTTCCATTCGGTTAGCCTGTATTTGTTAAACAACAAAGCCGACTTGATGCTATTATTAACAAAGGACGTATTTAAGAAACTTTATATAGGTAATATTATGGCGCAATTACAAAGTCCGTGTTCCGGTACACGAAAGACATTACTCTAATTCGGGTACTCAAAGCAATATTTACACTGGAATACGGTCTGGAAGACGGTGTCAACGAAAGCTGCTCGAATACGGGAGTACTCGACACCGTTCAATTACATTTAATCGTTTACCCGAATTCCATTAGCACTCGCATTCGGGCTAACGATCAAATGTAATTGCGCTATTAGTATGTCTATGATTACTACCCAATGTTAGACTTTATTCAGGTCGTAATCGATGTATTATCAGCCTAGCAAAGAACTATCTATACATATAATAAAATGGTAGGAAAGTAAAAACTGTACATTGAATCATCATGAGTTATCTCATATTGAAGTAATTTTTCAAATTGACGACTCTGTATATGTATATATATAATACAGGGAGAAAAAAACAGCCCTTGCCGAGTTTCTTGCCGGTTCTTCTCAGTACAAGGTCTCCCGCCGTAGATTTGCGAACCGATGGCGTAGCTTTTCGACATTACAAGTGCTTGTAACAGCCTAGACTGAATAAACGATATTGAATTTTTTTTTTTTTTTCATATTTTTCTAAAAGAATATTTGGGGTGTAATATACAATCGATACCGAAGCCAAAAATATAGTTTTTAGAATTTTTGTCTGTTTATCTGTATGTATGTCCGGGATAAACTCAAAAAGTACTGCATGGATTTACTTCAAATTTGGCTCGAATATTATTAAGAAGTGGGGTCGGGAACATATAGGCTACACAAATTTCACGAAACCCCACCCCTAAGGGGGTAATACGGGGGTTGGAAGTTTTGTATGAGAGTCCTATGTTTTTGAAGTAAGAGACTTGAAATTTAACACGTTTGCTCTATGGTGTACTAATAATGTATCTTAAGAAATAAACCCCCTTTTGGGGTCAAAAAATATATGCAAATAACTAACTCTACGCGTACGAAGTCGCGGGCGGCCGCTAGTTTATCGATTAAAAACAACATTTCTATTAGAAACTTACATCTTGATTTCGTGTTTTCTGTTTCCGTTCCACCAATGACGTCAGCGCTTCAGAGCGAACAGCCAGAGAGTCTATCCTCTCCACGAGTTGTTGGTACGGCGACAGAGGCTGAGCTCCCATAACGACGTGGCCGAGCTTGGAGTCAATCTTTGCATCCAGTCGCGCGTTACGGATCAAATTCACTATCCAACATTCTGCTTCATCGGGCTGCATGTTCAGGTTTTCTGCCAGCATACTGTAAAAAGAGGATAGTTCATTGTCGGTCACACAGTAAAATAAATATAATTATGGTGTGATCTGGAGCAGTGCCAAGTAATAAGTAAAATAACTTTTACAAAGCTGTTTATTTTATTTTATGTTAAACTTGAAAAAAAGGTATGTTATTTATGTTTTTTATTTTTAAGCATTTAAGTAAGTTAGTGGGATAAGTTATTTATTTTCCTTCTTTTCTACATTGCCTTATTTATTACTGTATTATAATATCCCTTTTTCCTTTGGGTACGTATTAGTTTTGCTTCTAGCTCGGTTACTAAGTCATTACTCAACGGGGATGAAGTCGCGCGCGGAAGCTAGTTTTTAATATATCTACTTACCCTATACTAATCACTTGATGAATACGACAGAACGTCTCAAATATCATGAGACGAGCATTCTCAACGAACTCTTCCAAACACGCGATCAAGAAGAAATCTGTCGATAGCACTCCCTGGCACTGGTTGAGCTTCCTACGTGCCGCTTCGAAATCAAAATTTACATAAAGATGCTCAATAAATTCTGTGATGGGATCCCTGCAAAACAAATATTACCTAAATAATACTTAATATATATATATATATATCTAATATATAAAATTCTCGTGTCGCGGTGTTTGTGGATAAACTCCTCCGAAACGGCTTTCCCGATCGTCATGAAATTTTGTGTGCATATTGGGTAGGTCTGAGAATCGGACAACATCTATTTTTCATCCCCCTAAATGTTAAGGGTAATCCACCCCTAATTTTTTTTTTCAATTTTAGATATTTTTTTTTATTTTCTTTATGATACATCATACAAAAATACATACAACCCTAAATTTTCACACTTCTACCACCAACCCCTATTTTTTTATGGCGGTACGAAGTCCGCTGGGACAGCTAGTATATAAGGCTATAAAAATAAATATCGACATAAGTACGTAAGTTCTACGCCATCTCCATTGCGTGGATGCCAGAACATCAAGATTATATGCAAGATATACCTACCCACAGTAATAGAAATAACACTCTTGTCTATCGATCCGTCATCAGAATTCAGTAGGTATAGGGGTATACAACTAGGGGCGTATTTACCTAGGGCCAAGAGGGCATGGCCCTGGGCGGTAGAAGCCAAATAAAGATATTCGTTAATGACCTATTTTGATTTAATTTACTAATTCTAGGGAGGAGGCGCGCGGGTAGGTGCTAATGACTGCAGATGCAGCCGGTACCAACGGCTTAACGTGCCTTCCGAAGCTCGGAGGAGCTCAAGATAATAAGTTTTCGGTCACCCATCCAATGACCAACCATTGCGAAAGTTGCATAACTTCACAGGCCGAACGCGCTAACCACCTGCGCCATCGAGCTCCTTCAGAATGGGTAATGCGAACATGTAAATTTTAAACATTAATCGTTTCTTTTGACGTTGATGCTCACAACACGGACATCAAAATGCGCAGTACAAGCGTTAATCATAACAATATTCTTTATTGTATAATACCACAAAGGATACGAAAGTGAATACATTAGAAAGGGAGACAATACACATATTATATATTATACATATATTATTGCTAAATAGCAAGCAATAAGACCGCAATTTTGTGTATTGTCTCCCTTTCTAATGTATTCACTTTCGTATCCTTTGTGGTATTATACAATAAAGAATATTCTCTTCCAGGCAACCCATGATGGAAAATGAAATAAACATAAAATGGTGATATTCCGCAATACATCGTACTCATCTTTCTCCGCTAGTCAAATTCGATGCGATAATGTAAACACACAATGCTCTTGACGTTGCATAGCTACTACAGTAATATTTCATGAAGATTATTTTAAAGGAACGCGAACGGCAATGGCAGTGCCAGTCAAATGTAAATGGGGTATTATAATGTCTAATAATAGCACTTCACACGCTATACGTACAAGCTACAAAAAACTTTTTACAGTATCCTTATTGTGCTCTATACTGAATGGAACAGGGAGACAGTTGTCGAATTTTCAAGGACCAAATACGAACGGCCATGGTGAAGTGAATTTCTTGAACTACAATCACGAACCCATACAATTTAATATTTGAAGGAATTTACGCGCGACGCGCCTACATTCTTACGCGCGTACCTATAGTTTCAAAGTCATTACATAGGGTGCGGCCAGAGTGCACTCAGATTCAGATTCAGATTCCGAAAACAAGCGCGAGAAATAAACAGTGTAGTCGAAGGGTACGGCCAGAGTGCACTCCTGATTCAGATTCAGACTCAGAAAACAAAGCGCGAGAAAAAGCAGGCAACCTGCTTAGACTACACTGTTTATTTCACGCGCTTGTTTTCGGAATCTGAATCTGAGTGCACTCTGGCCTGGGGGCCAGCCAATTGCCTAACGGGATCGCTATGGCTATCTCTATTGCTTACGATTTCATTTTGTTATTACTGACCGCTGAAGGTTTTCAAATGCCTCGCGCTCTTTTTTTTTCTTTTGCATTGGTCATAATAATATTAAAGAAAATGAGCGTAAGGTATTTGAAAACCTTCGGACGTCAGAAATAACAAAATGAAATGAAAACTATCAGTTTTCGTAATTGTAAATTATGTTTCTATGTCCATTTTGGTAAAAAGTAACCAAATATACTTAAAATATAAGAAGACAAACGATTTAATGATAGAATTTAAACACTGTTTATTTGCATTGAAACGGAAACAATAAAAACAGTGCCCTTGGTGCGAGTGCGAGCTCAATAAAACTATCATAGATTTCGTAATTGTAAAACTCGTACTAAGGGTACTTACTGATCAGTTGATCCGCGCGACTTGTTGTGTGCAAATGTTTGGGGCAGCGAAAAATGGATGGGGATAGCTATCTGTTATCGCTAGTCACCTGAACTCATTGGACGCACGATCACGCACATTGACGCGCGTCCATCTAAACTTAGGCTTAATGTTATAGTGAAAGAAGCTAATTGGGGGTAAGAAGCCAGATCTTTGTCAGTCTTTTGCAAGGTTACTGTGGGCTTAAATGATTTTTTTATATGAGAGAGAGATAGAGACATTTTATTGACCATATTCCATTGCAAATACAAAAAAAATACATTTGACAATATTTAGGTAAAAAAAAAGTATTAACTACATTTTGTGGTTTGTGGTCAATCAGGACCCTGTCTCAGCATAATGCTGCCGCAACATGCCACTTATATGACCTATCATCTGTAAAGTCTTGTATGGATTAGCTAGGATTTGGGATAGAAATTCTAATTAAGATGGTTAAAATAAAAATAAAACTCACCTGTATGTGTAAGCTTCTTGCTGTATTACTTTTACAAGGTCCTTGAGTGCGTTTCGTCTCGACCTATTTATGATGACGGCCGTAGCTAAATAACGCAGGATATGGGGACACATTGTTTGAATGGCGTTCAAATACCTAAAATAAGAAAACTGACATGATAATTTTTGTTATTGTAAATTTAAACCAAAAATTATACTTATGTAAATAAATTTGATGGCTGTTTTTTAATACTTAAGAAAACTAAATCACTAATGCTCGCACTTCAGATGGCTATTCGTTTTTTCGTAAACTTAATTTAACAGCAGTCGCTTTCTTTCATTTCCAATAGAAAGGGAGGACAGGTAAAGATATCATAAACAGCCTATTAATGTCCTGAATGCAGAGGCACAGGCCTTCCTTTTAGATGGAATAGCGAGATTAGGCTATGACCTGACACTTGGGCCCAGAGATGCTTCCTCAATCGTAAACCGAACGCACTAACCACACACATATAAATACTGTGGTCAAATTAAAAAATGCAAATACGAATAGCCATGTGAAATGCCATCGTAGGAGGTAATTAACCACCACTATCATATTATAATAACCAGTAAAGTTCATATTCTGGTTATGTTTCTTATCATTTTCATTATCATACACTACTTAATATTTTTTTACTGATTTTATCTGATGGATAGATGTAAAAGAATGAGTATGAGTTTACTTACAGTGGTTTGTATAAGAACATCTCAATTATGAGATCGCGTCCTTTAACGTGGTTGAAAAATACGAACAGAGACCAATGTATTAGCCATGTTCTTTGCTGGAGCGCTTGCATGTTATTAGCTGTAGCTCCACCAGCACCATTGTCAATAAATTCTCTTAATTTAGTCAAATCATCAAGAGCAGCATCCCAGTTTTGTACAAGGATCTCACTTGCAAGCTTACCCCACAGAACAGAAAGGTAGTTCTAAAAACATAACATATCAAAGTAAAAACTTTTTTAAGCTCTAAATAAAATGACAAAATACGTCAAATGCACAAAAATAAATCTTAACTTGATGAAGTCAATGTGACAGCAACAAATAATGTCAGCTAAATTATTAATTCATAAATTTGAAACGGGCTTTAATTTCAAATCTTTGCAAATCAGTATAGATGATGAAAATGATTCCAGTGATACTAAATTTAGTGAATGGGCAGATGGAAGGAGTTTTCCAAAAAAGAAAGAAAGTGAAAAGTTACCTCGTTTGGTTGTCAAAATAGTATCAGGGATTGAGACAAGTAATTTCAATCTCGATTCATGTGCAAAACTAATTAATAACTCAGAATTTGCTCCATATCTAGATTCTACTAACAATGTCAAAAATAATTTTGAAATACAACAACTTATTAAATTTTATGGCAATGAACAATTAAATTATTCGCAAAAATATTATTCAAATAATGATGAGCAATCATCTTTAAACAACAATGATGGAAAAAATATTTTAAATGAGACTCTACATGACACAATGAGCCCTTTGGAGTACAGTTTAGAAAAAGTAAAAGAAAATAATGCACGGATTATGGAAAATATAAACATGCTTAATTTGACCTTAAATTATACTAAAAAGAAAGAAACATTGGATACTATTTGTCCAAAATCAACACAGTCCTTTCCTTGTGATATATGTGGAAAATGTTTTGTTTATGAAACTGGGCTAAAAAGACATTATTCGATAAGACACTCTATAATGGAATCTTTGCCTCGTTGGCAGATTGTTTGGACATGCATTGAGTGTTTTCAAGTATGGCCTCAAGATGAACTAGCTTTAAAGCATTCAAGTCAATGCTGCAGATCAGATACCACACATTGTATCCAAGAAATAAAAACGTCATCATTGCTTCAATGTGAATTCTGTGAAAAAGTCTATACTAGTATTCCCAGATTACTAAAACATGCTAAAATGCATACAACAGAGAATAACTATGAATGTAATGCTTGTGACATAACATTTACATCATACAAGGCTGCTGAAGAGCATTGGCTGCTGTGTCCATGGTTAAAAACTTGTTACAGTTTCTCTTTACCAAAACTTTTGCTATGCAATGCATGTGATCGAAAATTTAGAAATTATGAACAACTCTATAATCATCGGTAAGAAAACTATTCAAGGCCAGTAATGTATTTATTATATAAAATTTTCCACCACCATTTTCATTGTTAAAAATATTTATAGGTATAAAATAGGTCATTTCATGGCTAAGTATAGTAACAAATCTATGGGAGCAAATCTTTACCAATGTGAGTTATGCGGAAAATGTTCAACTTCTACATCTATGCTGCAAGTACATAGGCAACAGAGTCATCCTTGCCATAGTGTACCTTCTTACGATATGGTAAGTTAATTTTTTATATAAGCAGTTTCAAATATTATTTTTATTTAAGCAGCTTATGTTTTAAATAGAAATCTTTTGTTTTACAGACCAATAATGGATTTCAAAGTAACTACTTCACTGAATTTAACTATGAAAATTACATTAATAAACAAATTTAGAATAATGTAGATTAAAAATTATTTAATAAATAATTCTTGTGATCTCTGTTTTCATTCTGTATAGAGAATGACAAGGATACATTGTTGTCAAGTTTAGGTTTAGATAATAAAAAGAAAAGATTTCATGAAGTTGGTAATAATGATTGAATGCACTTACCTTATCAGTGGGGGACATAACTAGTTGACAGAAGTAAAGATATGATGCTGATTCCACATAATTACCACACTCATATCTGTACTTGGCAAGACGGTACATGCTGTCAATCATTTCAATTTTGAACTGGAATTAATAATTGATAAAATAAATACGAGTTACAAAAATAAAGTTATAAAAACTATTATTTCCCATATGTACCTCAAATTCTTTGTTTGTTGTTAAGTAGTTTATCAAAGTTTTTGGGTCTCTCATAGTTTCAACTGTCTTCATAACATCATCTCTTTGCATAAGCCTTAAGACTGGTTCAACAGCATCTTGAAGGATTTGAAGTTGAGACAGAACAACACCTCTACGTGACTTAATTTCCTGAAAAAAAAAAATGTACTTAAGGTCTACAGTGAGAAATTCAGCACAATTTACATACATTATTCAGGCCAATAGTAAGCAGTGGACTATGGCTACTACAAAAGCAGATAAATAATGAGAATGTAAATATGGCTCAGAAACAAATAGATGTACTTGTGTACAAACAAACCCAGAGCCATTGGTGTAGATACCAGGATCTCTTGAGCTACAACCAACTAGTTGTCTAAAGTTGAATTTTATCTTAATCTATGAGATACCTATTAAATTAAAAACATTTTCCATAAGGATCTATCGACAATTTTTGATTACTCACTTCAGGTGTATCTTCATCAGGATAAAGCATGCCCCTTATATCAATAACATAATCAATCATGTTAGTTTTGCTCAAGATTTCCAGCTTGGCTTGTAGTAGTTCTGATTGATCATAAGTCTAAAAAACATAAGTTTGATTCAATTAGCACAACGAAAACTCAGTCATGTTAATGTAGTCATCAATTTTTATATTGAAATAAATAGTAAATTGATGACGATGAAATCAACTTGCCTCTTTAGCAGCTAAAAATTCCAATAAAGGAAAAACAAGATGCCGGTCTAAATACTGACCAATTTTAAAAGTAAGGTCAAATTTCGAGTAACTCATTGTGAGAACTATCTGGATTTCTCTTTACAAATTTAATAACAGTAAGAAATAGAAAACTCTCGTGCTGTGAGTTTTGAGAAGAATCCTAACCTCGAATTTGACATGACATGTCAGTCAGTCATAGACAAACATCACAGTCATTGATTTTTGTAACGTTCTCCCCTTTGAGAAGGCAAAGTAAACCCTACTCTCTATTCCATACAACCTAATTAAAAAAGTCTTTGGTAATTTTTTTTTTCCCCTTTGTATAATAATATCAGTGGTGGTTTTCCAATTACAGAGCATAATGCGACTCAGTGGCGCACAATGCCGAATTATGCTGATGCTTAATTTGAACGTGAATTAGTTTTCAAATGTTTATAGACATATTACAAAAAAAAAAAAAATTACAAAAATTATTATAATCATGTTTATTGACATATTATTTGATTTTTATTGACATATTTACTAATTTTAATTATTGACAAATTTAATTTTATAAACGAACTAGCTGACCCGGCGAACTTCGTACCGCCTTAGCGTAGCTTTGATGCACTACTTTATTTTGTATAGCTGACCTATCTTATGGATGAGTACCTATTCAATTTGAACTGGAATCTGTAATATCCTCCATATAAAAATGAATCCTTATTTCCCTGGTCTCGCCATACCTGAGGACTTTTTTTTGTTTTAAATTGAATGACGTTGACATTTGTCAGCGCGGTTATCGATGTGGTGTCACAGATTACCACAGATTTTTTGTTTTAAATTGAATGACGTTGACATTCGTTACGTTATATTTTTCAATCTTTCTGAGAGATTTTCTTTATATATTTTTCTGTAAGAACCTTGTACAGATTATTAGAAAACTACAAAAAAAAATCAGCCAAATCGGTCAAGCCGTTTTCATGTTATGTCGTGACAACGAAAAACGGGTTTCATTTTTATATATATCGATATCCATAATAATAATTACAAAATTAAACTAGTACCGTAAATAAGATCAATTGAGTGAGTTATAAAATTAATGAAATCAGATGACATTTATGCATGCTTTGAGAAAAAAAAGTTGTTTAATAAAAATAAGGTTCTTCATATAGAGAGTCAGTCAGTGAATTTATTATAGTATGTGTATACAGACCCCCTCTAGGCAACATTAGTGTTTTTGAATCAGTGATGGAGAATGTTCTAAAAAAGTTAAAGTCTAAAAATAAGTTTTTGATTGTAGTTGGTGACTTCAATATTAACATTCTTGAAAATAATTCAATGTCAATTCGCCTAACATCACTATTCAAATGTTTTAATTTGGTACATCAATTTTTTGAGCCTACTAGAGTAACATCTCATTCAGCTACTTGTTTAGATAATATATTTACTGATTATAATCCAGTTAGTAAATCAATTATTAATTGTATCACATCAGATCATTACGGCTTAAAAATAACATATAATACAAATGACACTACTAAGCCCAAATTCATTGAATTAAGACCAGTAACAAATAAACGTTTAGAAAATTTTCAAAACAATATTGATGATAAAATGTTTCAAATGCCATGGACACATGAGGATCCTAATATTCTTTACGGCAATATGTTCACTTTGGTTAAGAAAGAATTCGATAAGGCTTTTCCGCTTAAAACTTTGAAATTAACTCAAAAGTTGAACTTCTGTGACTGGGCTACGTCTGGTATTTATAAGAGCAGAAATAAACTTTATGATTTGTACTACTTAAGGAAGTACAATCACTCTCAGGGTTTCATTGATTATGTTAAAAGGTACTCAAAAACATTCAAAAGTGTATGTGCAACAGCCAAATCCAATTACATAAAAAATAAAATCATAAAATCTAATAATAAAATTAAAACGACATGGAATGTTATTAATAGAGAAACTGGTAAAGAAAGAACCCTCGATGATGGGATCGCACTTAAAGTAGATAATATTCAAATTAAAACAAAAGAACAGATTGCCAATACTTTTAATGAATATTTCGTTAATATACCATTAATTACTACTTCTAATTTGAATTCGACGCCAGCGGGTGCTAAGAGTTTGTTAGAGACGTGTGTGCCTCGGTGTAATAACCTGTTTACGTTTAAACATGTTGATTTTATGGATATTATAAAATGCTTTAACTCACTTAAAAAGAAAAATACGTGTGATTTGTTTGGAATGTCTATTAAAATTACTAAAAGTATAATAACAGTTATCGCTCCTTATCTTGCAGATATATTCAATAAGTGTATTGATCAAGGTGATTTTCCAGACCTTATGAAATATAGTAAAGTTATCCCTCTCTTCAAAAACGGCATAAGAGATGATCCCGGTAATTACAGACCTATATCAATATTACCGGTATTAAGTAAAATTTTCGAAAAAAATATTTTAGATCAATTATTATCGCATGTCAGTTTGAACAAACTGTTACATAATAATCAATTTGGCTTTACTAGGGGTAGATCAACAACGGATGCGGGTGTTGCACTTATTAGACATATAATGGAAGCCTGGGAGAAGTCGCAGAATGTTCTTGGGGTATTCTGTGACTTATCCAAGGCGTTTGACTGCGTTGAGCACCAGACGCTGGTGTTAAAATTAAATCACTATGGAATCAAAGGCGCAGCCCAAAACTTGCTACTATCGTATCTCAGTTCCAGAGTTCAAACTGTAGAGGTAAATGGTGTTAAGTCATCTGGATCTTATGTGAAAACGATTTTAGGTCCGTTTCTATTTTTATTGTACATAAACGATTTGCCATTTTTTGTGGAAAAATTGTGTGAGATCGTATTGTTTGCTGATGATACTTCTTTATTATTTAAGGTTGACCGATACAAGAATAACTTTGACGATGTAAATAATGCTCTCTCACAAGTATTGCACTGGTTTAATGTAAATAACTTAAAATTAAATGCAAATAAAACCAAATGCATTAAATTCACTTTACCTAATGTTAGAAGCGAAACCATTAGAATTAAATTAAACAATGAAAACCTAGATTTAGTTGAGTCAACGATATTCTTAGGTATAACCATAGACTCGAAATTGCAATGGTATCCTCATATTTCTCTGCTAGCTGGTAAACTTAGTTCAGCAGCCTATGCCATACGTAAAATAAGACAACTTACTGATGTAGCTACTGCTAGAACTGTATACTTTAGTTACTTTCATAGTATTGTATCCTATGGTATTATTCTCTGGGGATCAGCAGCCGATATTGAAACTATATTTATCTTGCAAAAAAGAGCTATAAGGGCTATTTATCAACTTAGTTCTAGAACATCTCTTAGAGAAAAATTTAAAGAAATCGGGATTTTGACTGTTGCTTCTCAATTCATTTATAATTGCATACTTTTTGTTCGAAGCAATATTAACTATTATCTAAAACACAGTGACATTCATTCTTTTAATACAAGGAATAAAAATAAACTCAAGATACCAAATTACAGGTTACAGAAGGTTCATAAATCATTTATGGGTCAAGGTATACATTTCTATAATAAGATTCCTATTGATATCCTTGATTTGCCTCCTCATAAATTTAAAATACACATTAAGAATTGTTTACTTAAGAAAGGATATTATACTGTCAATCAATATTTGAATGATAAAACGGCCTGGTTTGTAATTTTACCTGTAGATAATTTTTCAAAAGTTATATTAAAACTAAGGCTCCCAGCCTTAGAAAGAGTTTTGAAGAGAACCTTGCACTTACACTTACACACATTTGTTTTGAAAATTGTTTCTTGCTATTTTGGGACTTATCTTTGCACTTATTGTTAGTAAATTCATTGATTGTTACATATTTGACATTATGTGATGGAAGTTGACCTCAACACATGTTTGCAAGTTTGATGTCAACTTTCAATTGGACGACACTGTATGAAATAAAACAGGGAGAAAAAAGCAGCCCTTGCTGAGTTTCTTGCCGGTTCTTCTCAGTACAAGGTCTCCCGCCGTAGTTTTGCGAACCGATGGCGTAGCTTTTCGACATTCACAAGTGCTTGTAACAGCCTAGACTGAATAAACGATATTGAATTTGAATTTGAATTTAGATAATTGTTTATTTGTTAAATTCTCTTTTGTAATTTTTATCTATATTGCGATACCCTGACAGGGTTCATGTTAGGTACTTTATGCATTATGTAACTTGTAACCATCCATGTAACCACATGAGTGCAATAAATTGAATTGAATTGAAATCCACCAGCAGAGCAAGGGCGGATCCAGAGGGGGGGTCATGGGGGTTATGACCCCCCCCCTGGGCTGAGTCCATCTGTACCCACTTCATAATATGTACTTCACAATCTGTACCCACTGTGACTTGACCACGCCTATATGACCCCCCCCCTGGCGCCAAAGCTGGATCCACCCTTGCAGCAGAGTGCGTTAAGTTCAGTGTTGAAAAAAAAAGTCAGTGTTTGTACCTTCATCCATATTTATATTTATTTTTTTAACACAGTTTGAATTAACTTTGATTGTTAATTCAAACTGTGTTAAAAAATTTAATTGGAAAGCTACCACTGCACAGTGTTTTATGGAATCAAAAAAATTTAAACCTTAAGATTTTTGCATAAATCAATTATTTATACCCTAATAAAGGCAAGAGTTCAATTCTCAGATCACTATTTCCTGTAAAAAAAAAGATATGAAGTAGCAAAGTTTTTGAAATTTGAGCATTAAAAAATTAACAATTTCATTTCCTCAAAAGACGGTTCCATATCTGTACATGAGATATTTGCCACTTGATAAGGAATTATTGAAGGCATAATTTTGCAATTTTATTTTATTTATAAGTGTCCTAGTTTCCGAGATTTTTTTTTTAATTTCGATTTTTATTTTTTTTCTCCAAATATCGGCAAAAGTGGAACCTGGATTTAGTACAGAAAGGTTCTATAAGCCAAGTTCTATCACCCATAAAAAAATCAGGTTTCACTTTTGCGGTTTTAAGAAGTTATGACAGAATTTTGATAAAGGTCAACTTTCATGATCTAGGATTGTCACAAAGGTCAACTATGAGTTAAATGAAAATGTTAAATTTTTTGTTTGTTAATTAATACCGTCAATCAATTGAATAAATTAACAACACTTGTGGACGAATATAATATACTTACATATACTAGGTACCTACCTAATGTAGATGTGATAATGTAGGAATACTTTATGTTTGTTCGACCACATTTTAACTTTGTACCTTACACGCTAAACGGTAACGAAAAAATGAACTATGTTGCTTGAAAAAAATTTCAAAATTCATTCAGAATCATTCAGGCATTCGATCAGAAAATAAAAACAAATCTTGGGCATAAATCAGTTATTAGGTGTAACTATTATTGTTACAAAAAAAAACGTAGAGGTAAGCAGGCATGAACTTGTGTCTAATTGGGTCTCCAAAACACACACAAAACAAACAATTAATAGTTAATACTCAGACCCGAAAACGAAAATCGATATTCATTATAATGACTTCCGCCTTGACTGGGAATCACCATAAGCGTTCCTTTTTTGTAAATAGAGCTTGGAGCCCATAAAAATATGTTAAAGGTACTGTAGTAAGTTCCTAAAATCTACATTATTGTAAACTCGTTCAAAACTAATACACAAATTTATATTTTAAAAATTTTCGTTCGAGGTCAGGTTCGGTGTCAACCCTAGCATAAAAATTTAAAAATGAATATCTTCTAATCGCCGCAAAAGTGATACGTGGCTTATTTATGTATGAAAGACCACATCCGTAGGTTTATTTCTATCGAAGTTCTAGGTTCCACTTTTTCGTTTTTAGGGAGAAAAAACAATAAATACGAAATACAAAAAAAAAATTGCTGCTCCCAAACCAATGCATTTTTTTAAGCTAAAGAAACGCGTTTATACGCCTCTGATTATGCCCGATTGACACATATTTATTAAAAAAATATATTGTTAATATTCACTTTATAAAAAAATATTCTAGATTTCATAGGTCAAAGGTCACGATAAGTTCATGATTTTTTTTCTCAAAAAGTATTTGAGTTAGACTTCTGGGAATTGAACTCATGCCTTTTTTAGGGTATAAATAATCTATTTATGTAAAAACCTGAACATGTAAATTTTTTTGGTTCCATAAAACACTGTGCACTGGTAGCTAAAAGTAATGCTTTAGAGTGATGTATGCAATCGTACCAACGCAGAGACAGAAAATTAACAAGTGTTCTTTCTTTAATTTGGCATTGATCGAAATGTTTTATTTATATGTTATCGTTAGTTATATTATTTATTGTTGAAAAATTATTAAAACTTTCGTTTCATTATAGTTCTTTTTAAATAATCAAAGTTAATACAAACTGTGTTAAAAAATTTAATATAAATATGGATGAAGGTACAAACATTGACTTTTTTTTTCAACACTGAACTTAGCGCACTCTGCTGGTGCATTTGAAAACTAATTCACGTTCCAAGTAAGCATCAGCTGATCAGCATAATTCGGCATTGTGCGCCACTGAGTCGCATTATACTCTGTAATTGGAAAACCACCAGTATTAGCAGGTTTAAAATATTCTTAAGTTTCTTGTAGTATTTTACACACCTTATCGAGTCAGTTTTTCCTCAAAAATCTTCTGTAAAGCAGCTAGCATTTCATACCTGATTCTGTGTGCCACGATTCTCTAAACTTACTTTAATAAAAATCTACAAGATTCTTTACTTTTCATTCTTCATAGAGCCTTCTTTTCTATTTGACAGAGTATGACGAGGTTATTCTGTTGTTTTTAATTTTAAATTCAGAAAATAATGCTAAAATCGGTCTATTCAACACAAATTAATTGAATAGTTAATGGCATTTCAAAGAGAATATAAACGTTACTGATAGTTTAGTTTATCCTTTGCAGACATCACTAGTAATAAAGCGTGCGTGATAATTTTGTAATATTTTGGTTAATTTTGATGAAATTGAGACATATACTTGATATCTACTATCGTCTAATAGTTATTGAATTGTGCTAAATGTGTTAAATAATCAGAATAATTCAATGAAAGTGTGACTTCAGCGCGGTCAGATCGAATTTTAAAATGGCGTCGGGCGTTCTTCGCTAGAATACGTCATAAATAGAAGCGATGCATGGGCGATAAAAATGGCTATTTATAGAGTCCCTGCAGTGCTAGCGTTGCATTAGAATCTATTAAGATGTCAAATACGGTTATTACCAACTATACGGACCTCAATGGACCTTCTACTAAGGCCGATAGTTCTGTTGTTGTTATTGTAAACAAGGATGGATCCCTATCTGTTGATCAGAATTTACTTGGTACTCTGATGGGTGAGTGATTTATTCTTAGTTATTCTTAATGATCTATAGTTTATCATTGAATGCATACCATTTCAAACCAGCATTCATACCAATTTTCTCGTAAAATATCTGTTTAATCACAGCATAGAATGTGTTGAACTTTTTAGCTACCACAGGCATATTACTATCAAATCATGAATTAGGTGCTTATTAGGCGAAACTAAATGCGAAATTTAACTCTAAAATGTATTGTGATGAAAATTAATTGTTTTGATATAGATTATTTGTTTGAAAACAAGCATAACATATTTTGGCGCGAAACGTAAATTCGTAGAATAAGGTAGTTTTCCACAGAGCTTAATGCCGAATTATACTGATGCTTAATTGAAACGTGAATTAGTTTTCAAATGCACCAGCATAGTAGTCTAAGTCAATGTGTTGTACCTTCATCCATACATATATTTAAATTTTAACATAGTTTGAATTAACTTTCATTATTTAAGAAAAACTACAATGCAACGAAAGCTTTAAAATTTTTTTCAATAATAAATAATATTAGTAACTATAATTTATAAATAAATCATTTCCATAAATGCCAACTTAAAGAAAAACCACTTGTTAAACGATTGCATGCATATACATATGAAATATTACTTTTGAGAGTGCTTGATTGTGCGAAGCGTTGCTGTAGTTGAAACATTCAACGTTAAGCATTATGCCACATTATGCGTTCTAGTGCTGTAATGGGAAAACTACCAAAAATATTGATAGCTTCTTGATACTAAAATCAAGCTACTTTTATTTAGTAGGACTCATATCTTGCTATTAATTAAACCTATGTTGATCTATCTACTAGTGACATGTCATCCTCTTTACCAGGTACTGATGGTTCTCAAGCTGCTGGAATAAGTGTAGTACGAGTGGGTCATGAAGGCCGACCAGATGATGCCACTGATTCGGAATCAGAAGATGATAAAGTGCCTCATGTTACATTATCTGTGGATAGTTATTATGATGAACCAAACAGCATTATAAAATATGGTAAATATTAACTTTGTGTGTATGTAGTTTTTATAAACATTCATACAAAATGTATGTATTGTAATTTGTAGGGTGTTGTAGAATAACTCTATTTTCTTGATTTTAGACAGTGGAGCTGAGATGTTACAATCTTTAAGGATAGAAACAAGAGAGAACAGTTTGGTTGGTTTCCAAAATGACCATTGCTATACACCATTCACATCACCGAGTCAAACATTACCACAAACAACTGATAGCTATACAACATATGATGAACCAGTTATTGAAATTACACATACACCACCACCAAAGCCTGTTTCTAGTTCAAAGAAAATAACAATATTGGATCAGCAAATAATACCTAAAGGTAAAAAGATTGTCATAAATCAATCTGAATCACCAGTTATACTAAAAGGAAATGATCTATTAAATAAGCCTCTATTACCTAAAGCAAAGGTCTCAAATAATCAAGAAAAGTCTGAGATATTACAAAAATCTGAAGATACTTCGGAATCTTCATCTATTACTTCTGGTGAAAGCATACCTGATAGAGACTCTGATTCTGATTACAAAGAGACTAAAGATAGGAGTGGCTCCATAAAGGTGAAAAAACCAAAACTAAAACCTAGAATTCTAAAGTCTAATAAAGTTGGAAAATTGGATTCCAAAGTTGCTACCAGACTCAAGGCTAGTAAAAACATCTTAAAGAAGGATGTCAAGGAAAAGATTCTTAACAAAAGTATTGTTGACAAAAAACAAACTAACGTTGATATAGAAAGTTTAATCCCTTCATCAGTAATAACTTCTTCTGTACCTGTTATTAGTGAACAAAATAAACAACTAGTCAAGTCATCTCAAAAATCTGTCAAAAAAGAAAAGAAGACCCCAGCTCATGTTACAGCTTTGTTGTCAGATATGACTTCCTTGTTTTCTACACCAGATGTTATTAGGAGGGTTTCTACAGATAACAAACCTTTAAAATCAGATCCTAAAGAGTTGACTGGGGATAAGAAACTTTCTAATACACAAAAAGCACAAGAAATTTTAAATGAAGCGAGGGCAACTGATAATTTGAAATCATTTCTTGAATGCAACATAGATAAATCTAAAAGTCTTGCTATCCCTTCACCAAAAACTTATACAAGGCAAAAAGATAAAGTGCCTGAAAAGGTTGGAAAAGGTTATGAACTCACTGCAACAATCCCACAACTGGATGAAGCAAGTTTGGCACAAATATTACAAGATACATCTGGTATTACTGCTAATCCTGTTAAAATTCAACCTACCATTTCCACTGTGAATACTATGAGTAGTCCAGGTTTGGCGGGGCCTCTGTCACCAACATTAGATTTGCTTGGAGGCTTACAACCTGAAGAAGAAGGATTGACAGAAGATTTTTTAATGCACGTAGCACAATTAGTGGAAAGTTCTGAAAACCTGCAAGAGGTTATAGACAAACAAGTTTTAGGTAAAGTTGATCCAACTCTGACTAAACCAGTCGTTCAGCCTACCTTTCAACAAACACCAGGTAATACTTTGTATGCTCAAACTCTTACGAAATCTGCTCAGAAGGCAACCACGCGTAAGGACCCTATAGAAATTGTAAGACGTGATGGCCGTGTTATCACCTTACCACCTATAGAAGCGCCTGCAACAAGATCATCAAAACGTAAGATTCAAATGGAACCAACCAGTGTTGCAGAAGTTATACCAGCACCAGTACCTATCCCGGCACCACAAATAGCTGTAACTCCTGAGCCCCAAGTCCAAGCAGTATCTAAGCAATATACAAACAAGAAATTAGTGAATAAAAAGCAAGAATCACAAATTGCAGTACAACCACCAATTGTTGATAAGGTATCTGCAGAATCACAAGAAAGCTGGAATTCAGAAGATGATCCTTACAGGTAGATATGAAATTCTTAATCCCATACATAACTAAATCAAAATATAATTTTTGACCTCCATAATCTAGTCAAATCTGTGGGAATCCACCCTTAAAGTTGGGTGGGACTTGCCTAGTTTACAGACAGTCATTACCCCTGTAGCACCAACTGTGGTAGGTTATTTCCATGTTTAGAAAATCACTATTTACTGTTTATGTGTAAAAAGTTATAAGTTTACAAAATAACCATATTAATACACAAAATTATTATATAGCATAAATAAATAAAGATTAAAATAATAGAATACATATGTATTTATGATGTATATAAAGTGAAGTATATTTATTTACTTTAAATTCTGGCAATACCTCACCTTTGATCTGAGTTGGGTATAGGCAGAAACATACATTAAAAATGAAAGTATTATTTTTTATATACCATGAATAAAAGTATTTTTAATTTTGGTGTTTGCTTATGTATTTTATTAAATGAAATGATGCTATTGCTGGAAGTTGTTGGTATGAACTAAATATTGTATTTTATTCCTAAGTGATTATTCAACCAGCAAACCTGATTATTCAATCAAAACTAGTTATTGCTATCCATAACTTTTTATATACTAATTAGTTCTATCTTAGTTGGGAGAAGGAAACTAAATATTTTTTATGTTTAAATAGTGGCAAACAAGCATTTACCAAATGGTATATGGCTATACTAGCCTGTCGACGTTGACAATACCATAATAACTTAAGCTATTACCTAACAAACTTCATCCCCTACCCAGTGGAGCCCTAGAACCTTAATCACCAACAAAAACACAACACCACCAAAAGGTTTGACTTTCTGTAAGGTGGAGAGCTTATATGAATGGTTATGAATTTGTGGTACCTATGACAACATTAACTCGTAATTAAACCTCTTTTTATAGTTTCTCAGTAATCATTGTTATTTATTCTTTCCTCTAATTGAAACAAATCTTGACTATGTCACTGTCAAAAAAGTAAATTTACAAGGATCTTTCTTTTAGAAAGGAGTGTGGTAGAAATGTTAGGGTTTAATAATATTATAAGGTGTAATTTCAATTTATGTTGTATGGAAAAAATCAATACAATTTTAATAATTATTATTTCATCATCAATAAAGATTGATCAGTAATTTCATTTTCCTGAAGTTATCATAATTTTAAATGAACTCAATAAAATATTATCTTCTCAGGTTATGGTGTATCTGTAGGCAACCACATAATAATCGCTTTATGATATGCTGTGACGGCTGTGAGGATTGGTTCCATGGTAAATGTGTTAATATCACCAAAGCCATGGGTCAGCAAATGGAGGAGCAAGGCATAGAATGGAGATGTCCTAACTGCATCAAAAAGACAAAGTATTCACCCAAGACTCTTAAGGTAAATATTTGCTTAAAGACCCTTAAGGTAAATATTTAATAAAAGGTAATTTATTCACAGATTACTTTATCAATCTATATAGATATAATATTTTTTAATGAATTTCAATTTAAATGATATTTTAGGCAACACCAGTGCAAAAGAAAATCGATCCTGATACTGTAAGTACACCTCAGATTGTTACAAAGGAAGCAACTTCTAAGACCAATTGCATAGTTTGCAAGAAATCAGCGAGGGCCTCTAGCATCTACTGCAGCGACGCGTGCATACTAAAACACGCTCAGGACTCTTTGGGCAACCAAACTCCCTCTAACAAACCAGAAACAGAATCCGGTAAACTATCAGACAAGCAAAAATCTGAATCCAGGGTATGTTTTACAATCCAAATGCTAGTTTTTAAACCAAACCAAGAGCCCTTTTTCTCCATTTTAATTTACATTTCCATTACGTTTTCAACTGAAAATTAAATTGTGGATTTAATTAAAATCAAATTGTAGTGTGTATTTAATTAAAATCTAATTTCAGGTAATTGTTTATGAAAGAAAATCTGGAAGATTATTGGCTGGACCAAATGCTCCTACCGCAGAAAATTTGAAAACATGGCTTCAGAAAAATCCCACTTTCGAAGTTGTGCGTCCTGGTACACTCAGTACCATCAAACCCAATCTAGCACCCAAGAAGAGGCCATCAAATGAACCTAATAAAATTCAAACTACACTTAGCTTTGAAAGAATACCGAGAAAATCTATTGAACAGCCCACTTCTAGTAAAAGTATTGTAACAGAGTCAAAACCAAAATCTCAACCGCAGGACGTGAAAGTTATTAAAACACCACCTGCATCAAAAACAAAGGCTGTCCCAGAAATGAAATTGAAGCTTGTTCAGCAGCCAGAAAGTAAAGTTAAAAGTAAAGCAGAAAACATTGCTAAAGTCCTACAATCACCGAAAGAGGAGATGAAAATGATGCCTCAGCCTAGGACTCCAGTGGCGACAAGATCAAATCCGATCCAGCTTATAGAGTCGCCGAAACCGAGCACATCTACACCAAAAACAGGGAATGAAACTCGAAAATTAGTTCGCTCTACTAGCAGGACTCAGGCAGCCCATGAAAAAGTAGGTCATAAAAATTTATGTTGATGAACGAAAATATAACTGACTAGCGGCCGCCGGCGACTTCGTCCGCGTTAGCATTAGTTCTTAGGAATCTAACATTTCATAATTCAGTAACATGCAAACTATCACATTTATAATATTAGTAGGATTTATCTTTAGTTTCTTATTATAGAACAAGTTTAATTAATAACTGTTGACAGTTCCAATCAGATCTACTGAACATTGCTTGCTATACATATATGATAGAAAGTTTGTCAAATCAAAAAGCTCAAAAAAATCAAAGCTTTTTGTATCTGCAATGACCTTAGTTCTGTTTGCACTTGAACTTTCTCTATGGATGTTGGTAAATTAATAATATAATGTAAAGAAAATTTTACAAGAAATCCACGCGGACCAGGCAGCACACGGGACTCGACATTGTGGGTTACCTACAATTCGAAGCTGGAGCGTTCAATGTACCTTTTGGACAGTTCCGGGCATGATTTTGTTCGTGTCGATGTATCTAGGGTATTTAATATCGTTGCATCAAGTAGTTACTAATAAAAATAATAATTATTGCTTCGTAGGCACCATCAGTATCACCTTCAACTTCACGTCGGAAAGATTCTCTAGAACCCAGCAAAATCAAAATGGACCCCAGTGCAACAATACGTGACAATGTTAGGAAAGCATTACAAGAGCAATTGGGTATACGCATGTCTGAGACCACAGGCGCCAAGTTTACCGAAGCAGAAATACGACAGTTTTCGATTGATACTGAATTTGAGCTCCACGAGCTTTTCCGCGACGTCGGGATGAAATATAAAGCTAAATACAGATCACTCATGTTTAATATAAAGGACAGGAAAAATCTTTCACTGTGGCAAAAGATTTGTGATCGTGCAATCACACCAAAACAATTGGTAAGTTAAATTATGATTACATTAATTAACCATATTGTTTTCAATGGAAACTTTTCAGTATATTTTTATTTCTCTATTTTAGGTCCGACTATCTCCAGAAGAGCTTGCAAGTCAAGAATTAGCTCAATGGCGAGATAAAGAAGTAAAACATCAATTAGAATTGATAAAAAAATCCGAATTGGATATGTTAGCTGCAAGTAAAACTTATGTCCTCAAAACACATAAGGGAGAAGAGGTATACGCAATTTATATTCTCAATATACATCTTACCAAAGTTATTTTCATTCCCTAAAGTCACTCATGAAGAACTAACGTTGCCATCTTTCCTGGTTGAAGCAGGAAATTACCATTAATCTGTGTGTGATAATGTGTGGTTGATATGTTTACAATGCACAAGTAAAATTCAAATGAACTCATGTATTTATGTCAATTTTAATTGTAACCTTACTATTTATTAGGTGATGGAGACAAAGGAATCTGTTTCTACAGAACTAGATCCAAATGTACCAGTTGAAGATTTGGTAACAGCTTTAAATGATTCCACAGTTGGTGAAGAAAATAAAGATGAAAAATCAGATGAACTGTAAGTAATCAAATGTAATGATTTTTTATTATTTCATTAACTGTGCAATATCTGTTGTTATATTTTATTTTCAGTAATACAACGGCAGGTAAAAGTGATACTAAAGAAAAAAAAACTGGCAGCAGTCGCAAGAGGCCAAGGGAAGATAGCAGTTCAGAGTATTCTAAAAGAGAAAGGCGTGACTCTAGACGGGACACTGAAAGCAGAAGATCTAAGTCCTCGAGACGAAAATCGGACGTGAAGGAGAAGGAATCTAAAGAAGAGAGGAGATCGTCTCGAAGACGAAATAGAGTTTCGAGCAGAGTGAAATCTGCGTCAAGGGACAGATCCAGAGAGGCGTCTAAGGAAAAGACTCGGGAACACTCGAGATATAGGTCAAGGTCGAGAGTTAAATCGAAAAGGCGGTCGAAGTCCAGAGAACATTCGAGATCGACCTCTCACAGCCGGGACGGATCTCGGTCCCGGGGCAGGTCCCGACGCCGGTCCACTTCCATCGTTACTTCGAAACCCAAAAAGAGATCGCGCTCGAAAGTGCGGTCCAGTACCGATGATAAACATAAGCACAGATCCAAATCCCAGGATAATGTTTATACTAAAAATAAACATGAGTAAGTAAAATGCACAGCTTTAATTTTCTGCCAGACTTTACCAGTGACTACTAATATAAATCCTAATTCATTATACTTGTTGCATACAAGTAGGAGTTATTTGAATTTTTCATATATTTCAAGTCTTATTCATATATTTCAAATGGTAATTAAAATTAACAGTTATTTGGAAATTTTTATATATATATAAATGTTTTCAGCTCTACTGACTCTGACTCTATTGAAAGGCCTAAATCGGCAATGTTGAAAGAAATTCATCCAGAATATGATCCCCATGAACCAATGATAACGTCTGCTTTATCAGAAGAAGATTTAAGAAAATCTAGAGAAGATGTTTACGAAGACAATAATAAAAGCGAAATCGCTGAATATGATAATAATGATTATGATGCTTCCAAATCCTTTATCATTGATACTAATATAATAACGTCTCCAAAATATGTAGAAAAACAAGGCAAGTCTTGGTGTCCTATTTTATACATTAATTTTATACATTTCAATCTTCAAATTAATTTAAATTTTATAAAATTAATTGTTCATGATTGTCTTATTATATTTTAGCTGAGCCAGAAAGTGACCAAGAACCCAGTAGTACAGTGGACAACTCAGCGGCAATAGTTTGGAATGGTTGCATAAATATGGTCGATGTTGCAAGATTTTATGTAGCTGCACATGAGGTATTAATCAATTAACAGGTCTTTGTTTGGAGTGTATGAAGTGAATTGTGGTTTCATGACTTTTAATATAAATTCTTGCCTGGTCTGTTCTCCCAATGATCAACACAACAATACAAATTCTACCAATCTGCATAAAAAATTCTAACCTGATCGTAATTAACAATGGTGTCAATTCAGGCATGCTTTTCTAATCTTATAACCTAATTTAACATCAGTCTGTCCTTTTCATTCTGTTTAAATGTTGCCAGCAATCTGTATAATTCGGAATTCTATACAATACTTAGACAATGTATATAATATCAAAAACGTCAAGGCGATGTATGAAATATTATACATTTTATACTTTGCCTATGAATTGTATAGAATACCGCATTATACAGATTGCCGGTGACATATACAATGACAAAGATACGCTGTTGTCAAATTTAAGTTTAGGTTAAGAAAAACATCCAGAATGGACACCATTGTCAATCTAATGTTTTTTAGTTTAAAATATTAAGAACTGAGTTTAAAATTTATGACTGTTCATAGGTATCTGGAACTGCTTCAGATTTGGAAGAAGATTTAAGTGCCGAACTTGACATAGTCGGAAGAATAAACCCAGACACTGTATGGGATTACATTAACAAAATGAAGAGAGCTGGCAACAAAGATATAGTTGTTTTAAAGTTACAGGCTGCCAATGACGAAGAGAAAATGCAATACATTGCTTTATATAGCTATCTTAGTAGTCGTAATAGGTTCGTGTCTATAGTTTTGAAAAAATACAATAATACGATAGTATCCCTAAATCTTCTTTTGCATTTTTATTTTTTTATACATCCTTACACAAGTCTTGCAATAGAATGAATTGATCATTTGTTGTTGCATTATACAACAAATGTATTGATTAATTGAAAATTGACGCATTTTAGGTTAGGTGTGGTGAAGGTATTGAATACAACGTCGGTGAAAGATTTCTACATAGTCCCGCTACCGGCGAACACCGCCCTACCTTCAGTTCTTTTCCCTCTGGACGGGCCTGGACTAGGGGAGGTCAAAACCCACTTATTGATCGCCATAGTCATACGTCAGAGAAAAAAGCGTATGGCACCTAACATTCCGAAAGATACAGTACCAGAAAAGGTTAGTTAACATTGAACATTATCAAATTGTATATAAACATTCCATGTGTCTATACTATATTATATATTAAGTTTCAGTTCAGACAAGTTCGTTTCATGCTACATTATGATACATCATCATAACCCAGCTCTCCTACATTTCCAATCTCCTGTTCCCTTCTATGTTATGTTCTGTGTGATACTTTGGCGCTAGCTAACTTATTTTTCTCTAATTCCTAAAGACCGGATTTTTTATTTATTTAAAGAAGCTTCGAAATAAGCGTGAGTACAGCTAATAATCCGCATGAAATGTATTAAAATAATAAAAATAAGCATTATAATTTTAGTGTTTTTATTTCAATATCACCTGAGTAGGTCATTTTTTTCTAAATATGTACCAACCTAAATATACCCGCTTGTGCCATCTCTCATTATGGCAACGACTCGTTTTTTGTCTATTCAAATAAAAGTATAAATGCAATACATATTTGAGTTAAAAGTACTAGTACTATGGTACCTACATTCACTTTCTATTTTTCTCGTGATAACTAAGAACTTTTGAAAATTTTTCATTGTTAGCTAACTAAATTAGAAGACATCTATGCATCGTGAAAATAAAAATTGCAAATATCCCTATTGTTAGGGTTAAATTATGCGGGCGATTAAATCAGACAGGTATCTTAAATTCACCATTGTTGCTTTGTAAATTGCCTAGTCTATTACTATGTAAGGACAACGAACTTGTTTTTTTATTACCTTATTGTAACATTTGTAACGAAAATATTGTACATATTTGTAAGTGGGTCACATTACGAGATCACAGATTATGACTTAAATTATATGCTTAGCTCATCAATAATAATAAAATAAACTGTTGAAGGGATTTATGGCAGGAGGTAAATAAAAATAATCCGGTCTTTATATTTTCCATTTTTAATCATCAGTATACGAAGAATAAGCTTAGACTTACGCAGTGTTTTGTTCATATCACTCAAATGACATTTGGCATTCAATGAACAGAAACAAAGCATGGAGTAACTAATCCAAGCTAATTTTGCGTTTATTACTATGGGGGGAATAGACTAGCTAACGTCAAAAAGGTGCGTTTTGTAATGTTTTATAGACATTTTTTTTTGTATAGGCAATACTCACTGGCGTACTATAGGACAATACTATGTATTAAATGTAACAATTTCTAAAATTGGCGTTGTCTTTTACATATTAAAGTAATAAGTAAGTTCATTTTTTTTCACAACGTATTGTTAGAAGCAAATAAAGTGAACCCGGGCACAGTGAGATAATCACGATAGAGGCCGTAGTCTCGTCCTTACAAGATATCAGCCTAAAAAAATATCATTAGTTGAAAATGAGTGAAAGTGAGCCAATTTATTTCCCTAATTGCTATATTATGTTGAATGTTATTCTATTAAATGGAGTTCGTCCTATTATAATATTGATAATTTGTTTAATTAAATCACCGAATTCTAGGTCAAATTGTTTTAATATTTATAACTCTTTAAGCTTTTCGAGCTAGCACTCTTTTTTTGATCGACTTGAAAAAGGGGGAGGTTCTCTATTCGTCAGTACATTGTTTTTAGTATAAATCGTTCGTCCAGGTGACTCGTTCGTCTCGCAAGCGGTCGTATACGCCGCCGCCGCTCGCGGCCGCTAGCAAGGTGTCTACATATACTCCGCCTTCGTCTCCGCGTCGCCGCGCCCTACCGCTGCCTGCGTACACTTCTCCAGCACTATCCACCTCGGTCAAGGACAAGATCGCCGCCTCCTTGGGTGAGTAAAGTTCTTCAAAGGTACCGCTGCCTTCGTACACTTCTCCAGCACTATCCACCTCGGTCAAGGACAAGATCACCGCCTCCTTGGGTGAGTTAAGTTCCACCAAAGTTTATCAAAGGTACCGCTGCCTTAGTACACTTCTCTAGCACTATCCACCTCGGTCAAGGACAAGATCTCTACCTCCTTGGGTGAGTTAAGTTCCACCAAAGTTCTTCAACGGTACCGCTGCCTTCGGTCACTTCTCCAGCACTATCCACCTCGGTCAAGGACAAGATCACCGCCTCCTTGGGTGAATTAATTTCCACCAAAGTACTCGTCGCCGCGCCCTCCCACATGAAAAAGTATGTTGTATCTTCAACGGCTAAACCGATTTAGATAAAATTTGTTATAGATATAGTTTGAATCCCGGGAAAGAACACAGGATAGTTTTCATGCCAGAAATCCTCCTCAACTAAGAGATCAAAACTGTGGAGGAATATAAAGGAAACTATTTTTTTTTTAAACGTAGTGTTTTTAACGTTTAATCGTGTTTTATTTAACGTAGTGTGCATAGGGTTAGGCTCTTATGGCTCGATTACGCTTGGTTGTTAGCCCGTATTCGGATGCACGAAGGACAGCGAGGCGATATTTACACTGAACACAGGTGTCGGGTAACCAAAAGGAAAACTATCCGAATACGGGCGTACTCGACTCCGTTCATTTACACTCTTACTCAATAATTCTTAATAACGTAGAGTCTACGGAATTAAGAATTATTAAGTAATACAGAAAAACCTAAGGCGTAGACTCTTCTGTATTACTCTAAAGAGAAGTAGCAGAAGAAGAATTTTATAATAATATTTGGAACAACAAACAGCCAGATACTGCCACTATTTAGCAACTATTAGTTTTAAATAACGGTCCGAATATCATGTATCTTATCCGATATTGTTATCACAAAAGAATGAAATGCAATATATTAGAAAGCCTAAAATTTTATTTGAGGAGCTCGATGGTGTAAGTGGTTAGCGCGTTCGGCTGCGATAGTTGAAGTTTTGAGCAACTTTCACAGCGGTCGGTCATAAGATGGGTGACCAAAAATTTACTATCTCGAGCTCCTCCGTGCTTCGGAAGGCACGGCAAGTCGTTAGTCCCGGTTGCATGAGCAGTCGTTGGCACCCACCAATCCGCACTGGGCCCTCGTGGTGAGTCAATGCCCAATCTTCCTATTCCATCTATAGGGAAGGCCTGTGCCCCAGCAATGGGGAAATAATAGGGTGGTGATGATGATGATGAAAATGTTATTGTGTTTCTTCTATACTATAGCCGCTGCTGACGACGAAGAGGCGTACAGTCCCGGCTCGTCAAGCAGTAGCGGCATGTCAACCAACGCGCTTCAACCCGCCTCCAATACGTTGCGCTCCAAAATGGAGGAACTCAATCGACAAATTGAGGAGCAGAAACAGCAAATACTTAAAATGGCACAGGCTGACTCTTCGGTTGGGGCAGAGGTAAGCACACACTTGTTCAAATCTTTAACATCAAGCATTGCTTTGTGGTAGGATATGGAACATTTTATAGAGGTAGCTCGCTACCACTATATAGAAAGTAGCCAGAAGGACGGCTCCCCGCCATATATTTTGACAACACATGTCGCTAGTCCAGCAGCGAATCAAATAAAAAAAAAACAAAGTAATTATAGCGATGCACGTGTATGAAGACGTGTATTGAGTACAGTAAGATCAAGATTATCAAGGTAAAGCTGTCATTGCATGCAACAGCAACAAAGAAATTGACTCTTTTCTACACCAAAGCTCTCAGGTTACAACTTTTTGGATATAATCGGGCGTCTAAAACGCCGAAAAAAGACCACACTTTGTATCGCAAGTCTAGTCTAGAGAGACAAGGGGCCAAACTTTCTTTAAATGTTAAGATATTAAATATGATGCAAACAAACTTCATGTCAGTAGTTATTTTTTTATTTTTTATGCATACAACTGCTGGATCTTTAAATCAGGATTGCGGTAGCATAATTGGTCAGTGCATTCACCCGGATAGCGAAGGGTGCGGGTTCGAGTCCCGTCTGCTGCCGGGTCCGCGTGGATTTTTTTCTAGATAGGTATATTTTCTTCAGATTCATGTCACTAGCTTTTTTTATATATATCAAGAAAACTTGTACTCTAATGGAAACGCCGTCTTATCGATGCCGTTACTTTACGCTATATTTACCTTAATTGCTTTGTGAAGCAAAACGGCAGCGTGGTGGTTTAATGGGCAGATATCATAATTAATTTACTGTTTTGTTATAGGACGAAGCTTATTCACCGTCACGCCCTATGACTCCGCCTGCAGTGGTACCTTTGGCTGACATTGCTCTCCCATCTAACTTGCAAGAGATTCTTGCTACTATAAAACAAAGGTCTGAACCAACATCGGATGTCGACATGCGTACATTGCCTTTACCCCCTTAGTCGTAATATAGTCTGTTATGTAGAATTTATGTATAAAATAAGCACAATATTATTATAAATTTCTTTATAATGCATTATTTCTTTTCTTAAAATATTCATTCATAATTATTGTACATAAACTATAGTACAAGCTTATTTGCAATGATTTCAAAATAGCTCGAACTTTCGTGGACACTGGCTTCAGTTCTTGCAATGATCTCGTTATTTCAACTTGTTCAAAAACAATCAATGTATAGGTAACATTTTTTGTGCATTTGTAATAATAAACACATATTTTAATTTGTGTATTAGATTTCTACTAGAGTAGAGTAAAATTGTCGTATGTGTTGTATTTAGACTTAAGATCTTATTTTTAATTTATTATTAGGTGGGCTTATAATCATAAGTATGACACATTATGTAAATTTGCGAGGCATACATTATGTGCAATATGATAATGCCATGGATGAAATAATGAAAAAAAAATGTGGAATAATTACTTGGATGTATATAGGTAGGTTTAATAAATGTTTGCATTATTCGAAATCTTGAATGTGGTGAACAAAGTCTAGAATTTATCAATTTTACTACTTAGTATATTTTATTATTAAAAAACAGATTATATTTTACTTTCTTTTGGCATCAAAACAAAACTTATGATGAAATAAAGACATGTTTAATGCATAATTCATTTTTATTTTATATACTGTCATCATCATAAAGGGATCTCCTGGCATTAGGTCTATCCTTTAATGAAAAGGTTTTGGGTGATTTAATGAGTTTCCTGATAACCTCTTCTTTTAATTTCAAATTTTTATGTTTCTTTTGCATGGCCATAATTTTAGTTTCCATTAATTTTCTTCTCGGAATATGCCTTAATGCAAATTCCCAATCTTTCGTCAATCTTAAATCTGCTAGTATAGGTACCATATGATTTATATTTAAATTCTTTTTAGAACCTGGGGCCCATTCCAAGTAACGGTCAAGTGGTAATTTAGCCATTTTAATACCATCCTTTTTCGCTTTAGCTAATGAAAGTGGTTCGTTGTTAATCTAAAAGATGGGAAACAATATATTTATTTGATACATTTTATAAGGCAATTTTCTACCACCTGCATACATACCTTGTCTACCATACACCCAATAATATAGATATTGTCATAGTCAAATGTAGTCAATTCTTCACGACAATGAGGAGTAAGATAAACTAGTTTGTTCTTTGGAAATAGGTCTAAATAACTTTGACTATGAATATTAAGGGGAAACCAAGATTCATCTATAGGAGGAATATTTTTTCTTAAATGCTTCATAAATTCTCCTTTATCATTAACATTACACAAATGAATATCGAAAGGATCTTTGTGTATTTTATTATCTGCAAAAACAAATGTCATCTGCTTTGCAGCATTTACTGTTTCACGATATACCATGTGTTCTTCATATGAGCAATCAATAACTACTTTTTGACCATGTAGAATAGCCTGTAATGTCCTAAAAAAAAGGTTACTATATCAATATTCAAAGTACTATTTAAAGACTTTTGTGTTGTTGTTCCATGCCATTCCATGTTGGATTGTGGGTGAAAATTAAAAAAGATTCAGTTTATTACTTTCTTCAAGGATCATAAACCTGTCACCAAAGTTTAAAAAATCCCAACACAATACTTATATTAAACATGGCTTAATCAGGGTATGTGGCAGAGGGCAAGAGACAAAGTACATTATATTCTTAGATTGAAACAAAAAGGGAAGATACAGTACACACACGCACACTTCTGAAAATAAACATTCAATAGAGTGAGCGAGAGAACTGTACACTGCAAAGCGGTGCGAGCAAAACAGCGAGTCTGCATTGCTTGGCAGTCAATTGCATTTTCTTATCTCTCTCTACAAACGGCTGAGCTGTATTGTTGTCATTTTCGTGACCACAAATGGCGAATAAGTAACACTATAATAACATTCATGACAAACTGTGATTTTTGAGAAAAATGACTAATTTTACAAATCAAAAGATTTGCCAAGGGATTTGTTATTTGATCTTAAACTATTTGTTCGTTTTAAACGCATTAATTTTCGAGGGCATTGTTTATTGTTATATTGAGTGCACATGAAGTGAATTGTGTTCATGCACCACAATATCAGCAGTACACTTTTAAGCAATGTCGCGAGTGCCGTTTCTTACCTTTTTGTATTAATCTAAGATTATATCTCATTAATTATTTATCAGTATCAGTGGAAACTGAATAATAAGAACTGATTAGTATTATTTGGTGTCAGCTGATTGAATGAAGTTAGTGAGCAGTAGTTTTGTAGCAACAGTTTGTGATTATCATCCATATTGTTATCGTAATTGTATTAGTGCCCTACCTGTAGTAATCAAAATTATTTATAGACTGATCTCTAATTCTAAGGAATAATGACTGATGCTGTAGACCATACAGAATGTCATCAGGGTATTCTTTATTTTCTTCAGGTTTAAAGAATTCAAATTCTTTCCTTCTAGCTTCTTTTTTTGCCTAGATAAAAAAATCACATACTTAAAATATTGTAATTTGAAAATTGTATATACAAGAGCATTTTCGTCAAATAAAATAATACTTGAAACCTTTTGATTTTCTCTTGATCTTTCTGTTTTCCATAAATATAAGAGATAGTTGCACCTTTGGTTTCTGCTTGCCAAAGACATTAGATGTTCCCACTGACTACTATTTAACAAAGCAGGTGCGCAACGACCATCCTGTCTCATTACTTCGACTTCAAGCATTAGTATCCTTAGCTTCTTTTCTATTTCCGGGTCGTTATTACAAATTTCTTTAATTATTTTGTCTGTAATGAAGGTATGTGTAAAAAGAATGTTTATTGAAACAAAATATTATTTTACATTGGTCTGTACACAATCATTTGAAAATCTTGGTAGGTGTAGACTCAAGATATGCAGCTAATGCAACAAACACCTTCCATTTTACTCACACAAATACTACATAATTCTTTGTACCTGACTCATCCTCTGATTTAGCAAGATTTCCAAAGGGTCTATAGAAATTGTGGACATTGGTAAGAACAGTTCTTATATTCTGGAAAATGACTGGGCTTCGACCTTTATTCACAAGAAATAAAGCAGATTTAATACAATACATTATTACAAATCTTATGGATTATTTGTTTGCGATTTACAAACAACATTGAAGATTGTTAAGTTATGAGGCGATCACAGACTATTACTTAGGCACTTTGCAGACGACGGGGCGGGGCGGGCCGGTCAATCAATTTCGCCGCGGAGTGCGCGCCAGATTAGGCTTGTTGAAAATATATCGATATTTTTTGTTCGATATATCGATATTTTTTGTTCGATATATCGATATTTTTTGCCGATATATTTTGATTCGATAAATCGATACATCGATACCAAATAACCAATATCGAAATTATATCAAAAATTATATTTTTTTTTTCATCATCAGCCTATTAATGTCCTCTCTGCTGGGGCACAGGCCTTCCCTATGGATGGAATAGGGAGATTGGGCCATGACCCACCACGCGGGCTCAGTGCGGGTTGGTGGGTGCTAACGACTGCAGATGCAGCCGGGACCAACGGCTTAACGTGCCTTCCGAAGCACGGAGGAGCTCGAGATAGTAAATTTTCGGTCACCCATCCATTGACCGACCACTGCGAAAGTTGCTTAACTTCAACGATCGCAGCGGAACGCGCTAACCACTTGCGCCATCGAGCTCCTCATTTTTTTAATTATTAGCGGCATATCACGATCTAACTAAATTCGTATCTGGAAAAATCGTAACTGGATCTCAGATTAATGATATTCAACATATCTATGATCTGTGCTGTATTTAGTATTGTCTATTATTTGTAAATCTGTTTCGCTGGTGAATTGGTTGTGCTAATTTCCATTATATTCTGTGAAGTGTGTGACTGTCTAGTCTTGTTTACGAAAGTGACCCTGCAATAATTTACCTGAGAGGCCCTGCAATAATTTTCATCATTCGGAAATAGGGTATATTTTTAGGGAGATAAATTTCGTTCCATTATTATTCTGCGTGTCATATTTCGTGATACTGTACGATATTTTGGGGAAAATTGGTCCGATATATCGATGTTTTTTCGCGATATATCGAAGCCGATATTGATATTTTTTAAAAGATCGATGTATCAATATATCGATATTTTTTTCAACTTTCGACATCCCTACGCCAGATAAGTCTGCGCGCGACTAGTGGCGTGACTAATGTTGCCAGTTATGGGAAATAAATTTCCGATCACAGACATGAAATAGGAGAAGAGGGAAAATCTGATGAGGTTAATAAAAAACGTCTCATTAGTTTATATAAGTTTAATTCTTATTTTATGAAAAATTAGAAATGAAGGCGATGATGAGGTGAAAATACTTACACTTCGTCTATTAATGTCATCAGGTTTGTCATGTATCATTAAAATAGAATAAATAAATATGGTTTTCTAGAGCAAATATTCTTATTATTCACAGTTATAACAAATATGGTGTTTTCACAGTATTTTAGTGTTCAAACAAAATCAAACTAGCTAAGTGGACTACAAATACATAAAATGTACAAAATATACTTAAGTGCAGATCCAAAATATATATAAATATTTAAATAAATAATTGGAATATCCCCCACAATACATAAAGGTATTGTAGTATCTGCTTTTTATGAAGTGTTTTTAATTTAAAAATACACAACATTAAATATTTCTCCAAACCTTTTATTGAATATCTAGCAGTACTTCTAAATTTTGCATAATTGTGGTCCTCCAGTGGGTCAAGGCCTTCCATTATATCACTTTCTGGGTCTTCATTGATTTCGTCGTCAGAAGAGTCTAAGCTTTCATCGTCACTTGTAGGATCAATTATAAATTTGTCAAGTTCTATATCCATAAGTCTGATTCGAAATATTGGTCTTCGATTTTTTCTACGTGTTGACACACGTTAATCCATTCCGACGTTGTTATAGTGTCGAATGCTGCTTCAGTTATTCTGGATATTTCGCTTGCGGCTTGACTCACATTTTTCTCTGCAATACGTCTTTTGACTTACCGGATTTTTCTAGCGGATTTAAATCGCAGTGATATGGAGGTAAGTGCACGACCTCATGTCCATGTTGATTTAATAAATATTCGACTTCATATGGGTCAGGCCGCCATTTTTTGATGATTTTGAAAACTGTTTTCTCCGCGGTCAGTATTTTGAAAAGTATTATAGATATCGGATTTTCGATGACGGCTTTGGATTAAGCAACAAAGTGACTCAAGTGGACATTATGATTATTTCAAGTCAGATAATAAACCAAAAAATATATTTCGAATGAAATCTGAAAAAAGGTAGTAAAATTACACAAAAACTTCTATCCGCCGAGGTAGAGGTGCACTTTGACTATCGTAGTAGCAAAAAGTATGTCAGTTTTTGAGACATAGCTGACACTTTAAGAATACGTATATTAATAGCTATCCGTGCTTTTAATTTAGCAACGTTTATCCTAAGAATTTCCTTGAAAATGATTTCAAATAAGTTTACGTCAAAAACTGTACTTATACGCCACTTTGTCAACGCCACCGATTCTCCATGTTCTATTAAACTTTAGGAATCGGTAAAGTTCAAATCGGGAAGTGGCAACACTGAGTTTCTGTAATCTGTGGACAGCGGCTTGACGAGCGGCTATATTTTTGACAGTCGACAGACAGAGTCGTCGACTGTCAAAAGACAGAGTCGTTGAAGTATTGAATGAAACGTGACAAATGATTAGTTAAAAGTGGTTTATTACAAATGAACAGAAAAAACAACAGAAATAATTAAAACCCCCAGTCTGTTTCTGAACAATCTGATAAAAATAACAATTTATGAAGCCTTGAACCAGTAAGACGATTGCGAGCTTCGCTTATTGTTGCGCCAGCTTTAGAAAACAGGCGCTCTGAAGGCACTGATGTGCCTGGCACAATAAGGTATTTTCGTGACAATGCATAGAGCTTCGGGAATACTGACTTCATGTCTTCCCACTGCTGAAAAATGTCAGACTTTAAAGGGGAGGGGAAAAAAGAACTTGCGAAAGTTACAAGTACTTTTGAAAGTATCGATACCTACTAAGTATCGAAAGAAAATGTATCGAGTACTCAAATACTTGGTATCGAAACGAAAGTATCGATACTACTCAGTTATCGATACTTTTTGCGGATCACTAGGTGTAGTTTGGGTACACAATTTTTTCAAGGTAAGATTTTTGTGCATTAAAAATTAAGTTTGATTGTTACACGAAAAACAAATAGTGTATCATGTTAGTAGAAGTGACAGCCATGTTTGGAGCTATAATGCAACTCAAATCATACTTTATTTACAGAGATATAAGTGGTTTTCTCAACGCGACGATAGCGTAGAAGTAGAAATACGCCACCATTTTGGTACTTCAACGCCAACGGTAGCGTAAATATTCGTCACCTCCTGTACGCCACCAAATAAAGGTAGGTATCCACTTGTTTTTATTATACTAACTTTTTACCTGACTGCCGAAGAAAGGAGGGTAATGTTTTTCGAGAGTGTATGTATGTATACTAACTAAACGCATTCGTGTAATTTCAGCTTGTATTTCGTAGGCTGCAAGGCATAGATCACGGTAACATAATGGTCAGTGCATCTGCCCGGATAGCGGAGGGTGCAGTCGAGTCCCGTCTGCTGCCTGGACCGCGTGGAATTTTTTTTAGTAAAAATTTTCTTTAGATTTAAAATCTAGCAAATAATTGCTTTAAAAAATAAAAATATAATAAATGTCTAGTTGATTATAAAATTGTTGATGTTTTTATTTACCTAGATATAGGGAACTACTTCTTATTCTAAATTCAACGAGCTGGTCCATTAGTGGGGGTCCATTATTAAATTGTGTTCATTATTAGATGTCCATATTTGGTGAATGGTCATCACTGGATGTCCATTAAATGATTTTCCTTGTCCATTACTAGCATAAAAAACCGTGTTTATATTTTAATGATATTTCTCATTTTTATGCGGTTATTTCTAACTTTTTCGGCATAAGCATAAAGGAAAAAAGACGGACATTAAGCTCAACATTGATGTTTAAACAAAATCCTGATATATTAGGAATAATCCTGCAAAAACCCTTTTCATCCTTAAAGTGTAATTGGTGCAATTACGTTATACAACATAATTTAATCTTAATATTTTGGCATGTGTATGCCAACCTTAACATTTATTCGTCACTATTATACGCTACTCAACGTCACCGACGCGTAGAAGTTTCTACGCCATCAACACAATACTTCTGCGCCATAACAGCAAAAAATGGCGGCCTGACCCATATGCTGGATCTCCTTTGCTTTTTTTTTATTAATTCGTACAACTGTGGTTTCGTCCAGTAATCTTCAAACGGAATACTATTATTTAATAGCCATTCTTGCATTTCTGCTTTTAAATTGCTCATTGTAGGTGCTTTATTTATTTGTTTGCAATGATATGATGCATTATCCATTACCACGATGCAATTACGTGGCAAGTTCGGAATGATTTTTTCAGTCATCCATTTAATGAAATTCTTAGCATTCATGTCATCATGATAGTCGCTTGATTTTGATTGGGATTTAAATAGCAGGAGCCCATTTTTGACAAATCCTGTTTTTCCGCCAGCGTGAGCTATAATCCATCTTGTGCCGGCACTATCCGAAGTCAAAACACCTGGTTCTTCATTGGATTGCCAACATTTTTGAACGTGGTAGGAAGCATGGATGTATGTTTCATCGAGATATATGACAGGACGCTTTTCTTCCAAACGGTTTTTACGCATCCTCAAAATAAATTTGGCTCTCCAAGCTGCAATATCAAAACGTTCCATTAAGACTTTGCGTTTGGACTGGCACTTTTTATACTTGTACCTCATGCTTCTCAAAACACGCCTTAAAGTTGTTTTGCTGTATTTAAAATCAATATCTGATTTCAGCGCGAGCCAAAGCTTATGCATGGTCAGGTCAGTGTGCCTTATAGCACACTTGTCAAAATCGTCTATTTCCAAAAAACTCTTTCGCTCCCTATTTTTTCCTGGAGTTATAATTCTTGAATTCGAAGCTTCAGCTTTAGTACTTTCTCGAGTTATATGAGTGACAGTCCGTTCAGAAATACCTGAAACGAATAAATATATTATGATTAAACGACATACTTAAAAAAACAGAAATTACCCTACACGAAAGCAAAATACTATGCAATGGTCACCCCAAAAATTACCTGTCAAGAAAGCAGTCCGTGCGCGTACTTTAGAAAATGGTACA